AGATAGACACAGGAATCAATCAGGTGGTCTTATACATAGAACAGAGTAGAATTTGATAATCTGTAATGAAATAAATATCATATAGACCGGAATGTTTCTCTCTCCTTCAGTAGACCTAAGTGAGAAGCTTATTTACGCTTACTAAGATTGCTTTGTGGGGCCAGCCTAGTGGCATAGTGGTTAAGTTCACACGCTCCATTTTGGCAGCCCAGGGTTCATGAATTCCGATGCTGTACTGGACCTACACGCTGCTCATCAAGCCGTGCTATGAAGGTGTCCCACATACAACATGGAGGAAGATCGGCATGGATGTTAGCTCAGGGAAAATCTTCCTCAAGCAAAAAGGGGAGGATTGGCAGTAGATGTTGGCTCATGGCCAATCTGCCTCACACCTCCCTCCCAAAAGTGCTTTGTAATCTTAGCATCAGAATTGGGGGTTAGTTGTGTGATTCAGAGATTCCCAGTCTGTGATTGCTGATGCATGCATCTCCGCAATATGGATGGAGCTACCACTGGGAATATTGGTTAAATTTGAGGGCCTTATCTCTTAAGTAGTATTGGATGTTACACACTGATCACCGTATTTTTTTCTGTGATTTTTTTTCACCATCTTTTCTCTTTTTTGTGCTGGCCATCCAGATGATGATTGTCATTTCTTATTTTTATATGTCCATTTGATTTCCAAGTCTTATTAATTCTGCTTCCTTAATGTCCCTTGAATCTATCTACTTCCTTTAATCCCTGCTCTCTCCATAATCTCTTGCCTTTATACTGACATAATCTCTTAAGTGGCCATATTCTCCCCTGGTTTTTTCTTCCTCCAATTTCTTCTCCACACTGTGGCCATGATAAGCTTTCTAAAGTACAAATCTGATCATGTGATGTTCCTCTTAAAACCCTTGACTGTAGCCTTTGGAATTGTATCAATAAGGGCCTTGATAGGAAGCAGAATTTACCTCCTTGTGAGGGCACAAGGAGAAGGAGTAGTTACTGGCTCACAGTGAGAGCTGCAGGAGGGGCCAAGCGGTGGACCTTTAATTTCAGAGGACGCAACTACTGCTATAGATAAGACACCAAAGCAGGAAGGGAGTGGGGAAGAAATACCATGACCTTTCCCCTCTCCTGCCCACAGATGACCCACTGCAGCTTCCCATTATCCATATGGTATGGGAAACCTCCTGGCAAGGGAGTTGGGTGATGCAATCTGGAGTGGTCAGCTTGCAGAGCACAGCAGAAGATGGTAGAAAATGGATCTGGGCAGGGGTGGGGGTGAGACATGTCAAATGATGAATAATCAACATGGGGATTCATAAAAATAATATCTTGCTTCCTGAACGGTATTATTGAGAGGACTAAATAAGGAGATGTTCATAAAAGCAATTTTCACAGAGGGGCTGCTCAGTGAGTTAATATTCTTTCTTCTTTATTATATCCCAGGCTTTGGTAAAGAGTAGATATTAGCTAAGTATTTGTTAAACTAGTTCTAGTGTTCTCTCCATGTCACTTTATTATTATTATTTCCTGTAAGGACAAACTCAGTGAGGTTTCTAAGCCTCTCTCCCTTACCTTCCAAAGAACTTCTTTGCTCATTAGGACTGGAGACCTGTGGTTCTTTTCCCCCTTCCCATTCTTTTTATTTTTTAAATTTTTTTAATGGAAACTTTCAGCCATACCTAAAAATAGAGAGAATAATATAATGAACCTTCACTGAGGTTCCTCCAGTGAGTCTCTCATTCAATATAAGAAATTATCAGTGGCTCACTAATCTTGTTTTCATTCATCCCCTCTACCTTTTTTTCTTGCTAGCATATTTTAAAACAAATCCCAGAAATCAGGTCATTTTACTGTATATCTCTTTAGCCAATAATGCCTTTTATTTTCTTGCCGAGGAAGATTCATCCTGAGCTAACATCTGTGCCAGTCTTCCTCTATTTTGTATGTGGGTTGCTGCCACAGCATGGCCACCAATGAGTGGTGTAGGTCCACAGTGGTAAACTGAATCTGGGCTGCCGAAGCAGAGAGCATCAAACTTATCCACTAGGCCAAGGGAACAGCCCCAATAAGGCCTTTTATCTTTTACAAAACCACTGTGCCATTATCACTTCTAATAAAAATAAAAATAAAAGGGGCTGGCCCCGTGGCCAAGTGGTTAAGTTTGCGCACTCTGCTGCAGGTGGCCCAGTGTTTCGTTGGTTTGACTCCTGGGCGCGGACATGGCACTGCTCATCAAACCACGCTGAGGCAGCGTCCCACATGCCACAACTAGAGGGATCCACAACAAAGAATATACAACTATGTACTGGGGGACTTTGGGGAGAAAAAGGAAAAAAATTGAAATCTTTAAAATAAAATAAAAAAGGATAAATCTTTAATTTTATCTAATTCTCAGTCTATGTTCAAATTTTTCCAGTTGTCTCAATGTGTCTTTTCTGGTTGGTTTGTTTGTATCAGCAACCAAACAAGGTCCCCACATCTGTAATTCCTTTTAGTTAAAATTCCAATCTTACTTGGTGGTGTCTTCCCTGGAGGCAAGTTGTGGCAATGACCTGGGTGTGGGGCATTTTGGACCAGCCTCTAAGGTAGTATTCCCTCCTGCATTCTTTATCATACACACAAAAGAGGCAGTCTCAAATCCCCCTAACTGCTGTCAGCCCTCCAGCCCACCCAATGGGGCCGGGTCTCTTCTTTGAGCCCCAGGAAGGGATGATTTGGGGTGAATTGTCTGCCAAGTATGGTAACTTGTAGTGCTTCCTATTCTAGCTAAATTTATTCAAGACTCTTTTATTCATTGCCTTGTGGAGGAGGGCTGGGGATGAAATGGTCAGGATGTATGTGGCATAGGGTGTGGGTTTTAGGAGCAGTTCCTTAGCCTTAATCCTACCTAACTGACCTCAGTCTTTAATAAAATGAGCTATTAGAGATTCTAGACACTAACAAAGAAAAAGAAACAAACTACCACCAAAGTTCTTTGCCTTCTTTCCTTTCCTAGCTTCTATAGGGTAAAAGGAAAATGGCTGAAATTCAAGCACTGGGATAAAGATGTTACAGGTTATTAAATCCAGTCTTCCAACCAGCAGAAGGCCCCTCTGGTAATAAGAGCTAACACCGTTACAGCATGTGGTTGATCACGGAGCTCCAAATTTTACCTCCTCTGTTACTGAACCTCTTTTTTTTTTTTTTAAAGATTTTATTTTTTCCTTTTTCTCCCCAACCTCCTGGTACATAGTTGTATATTCTTTCTTGTGGGTCCTTCTAGTTGTGGCGTGTGGGACGCTGCCTCAGTGTGGTTTGATGAGCAGTGCCGTGTCTGTGCCCAGGATTTGAACCAACGAAACACTGGGCCACCTGCAGTGGAGCACGCAAACTTAACCACTCGGCCACGGGGCCAGCCCCATGTTACTGAACCTCTTAATCTCAAATTCGTGTGCCTAATGCACAGTAAACCAGCCGAACACTGAGACATCGGTGCTTGGAGATGGAGAAAGATCTATTTTGATTGGCCAAGACAAGAAGGTGGGAGCATGGGTTCTCTCAAATCTGCTTTAACAAGAGAAGAAAAGAAGGGGTTTTATAGAGCTAAGGAGTGTGGCAAGAGTTTCAGAGAAACAAAGGGGTAATCTTTGTTTCTTTCACTCCCCTTATGCCGCTGAGCAATCTTACTTCTGGGTATCAAACGCAGCTCTGGGGGCTGGTTATCTAGTGACCCTTGAAGGCATTCTCTTTCTTGTGTAAAACAAACTCATAGATCCTTGAGACCCTTGAGTTACCCCTCAGGTTAAACAGGAAAACAGTAAATTGATAAGATTAACTTCTTTTCATAACAAGGTCAAAAGGTAATCTTATTGAATATTTCTAGTACCCCACAGGTACCTGGCTTCACCTCTCAGGGGTCTTGTGGTCTCTTGTGTGAACTGTGAACCTCGTCAGGGAATGAAGACTTCATAATTCTCATCGTTGGCAGGTAGCCTCCTGTATTTCATTGAAATCCTCCTCCCTCTGTTGGGAAGTTTGCCCTGTGTTGCTCCACAGAATGTCATGATTTTGGGGAGACAGGGGATGTAAATCCATGATAGCTAGAAAATGCACTTTAATTTACAGTAGAAACAGTCTTGTTGCCTCAGTACAATTAGATTAAACGTGTACAGGACTAATAACAGCTAATATTAACTAGTACTTATCACATGCTGTACGTTTCTCAGGGCTGCTGTAACAAAGTCCTACACACTGGATGGCCTAAACGACAGAAGTGTATTGTCTTACAGTTCTAGAGGCTAGAAGTCTGAGATTGAGGTGTTGGCAGGGTTGATTCCTTCTGAGGACTGTGAAGAAGAATCTGGTTCAGGCCTCTTGTGTACTTTCTGGTGGTTTGCTAGCTATCTTTGGCATCGTTGGCTTACAGAAGCATCACCTCAATCTCTGCCATCATCCTCACAAGATATTTTCTCTGTGTGCATGTCTCTACATTCTAATTTTCTTCTTTTTGTAGAGACATCAGTCATATTGGACTAGGGTTCACCTGAGTAACTTCATTTTTGTTGTTGGAGAGGAAGAACTTCTCCTCTACCCTTTTAAGTTCTTCTGGTCTAAGAATTAAATTGATATGAAACACACTAATAGAAGAAGAACTAACAGAAATTTAGTGACATGTATACCTCCTATATAAGTGGGAGAGATCCAGGAAAACTGAGTAACTCACCAAAATGGCCAAAACCATTACCTTAAATGCCATCCTCGGCTAAAGACAAAAGGATATGTTGGGGGTAGGGAGAGTCAGTTATGGGAGGTTACACAGAAAAACACAGTAAACAACGGTAAAGTTGTTATACAGATTTAAGTCATTGCCATCTCCATTGATAAGTGTTTCTAGAGATTGAGTCATTTCTCTCTTCCTGGTACAGCGAGGGAGACACCCTTACAAATGGAGATTTTCCTTACAAATTTTACAAAGGATAACTTCTACTTAGTTTTCAGAGCTTCTCCCATTTCTGCTGTTTCTTAAAAATAATCAGTCTAAAATAATCCTTGCACCAAAGAGACATATTTTGGGGTGGCAAATTCTGTCCCCCTAGAGTCCTGCCTTTGAAACTTCCCCAAGAAGTTTCACAATCCAAAAGCTAATTTGATAGTTTCATCCATCTCATCGAACCAGTCACTCAGTCCGGTGAATAGGTCAGTTCAGTTAGACAGTTGTGTCTCATTTCAGGAAACGGTGATGTTGCTGGGTTCCCAGAGTTAGGCCTGTATTGCGTGAGAAATCAGATATTTAATAAGAGGCATTTCTATGGAAACAAACCAAAAAACCCACAAAGGTTAATGATTGGAGCAGACTATAAACCAGTTTCTGAGCCCAGAGGGCAGCCAGTCAAGACTTTTAGACGTCTGTCTTGAAGCATCTCTTTGCAGTTTGAAGTGTTTCTGATGATGTTGTCCAATATTCAGATAAACTTTCTGAGTGGCCTACATAGCAACAGGCGTGAAGAAGATTGTTTAAATATGAGCTGTTATGGTGATTTCTCTGAAGTTAATATATCAAGTCATTCATCTTCAGTTTGCAGGGCTCTGGGGAAAAAGGCAACTTTATTTCTTAATGATTCCAAGTCAAAAGAAAGGGAGAAAATTGGAAATGTTACTTTGGAGGTTTGTGACTAGAAAAATTCAGGATCCAGTCCAGTTTGCAGGTTAAAAAAAAAAAAAGGACAATGTATAGCACTAGAATCTGATATCTGCAAGTGTATTACTGAAACATAATTTTTCTCTCTAAAAATCACCCTCATTTCTACCAAAGATAGCCACATTAAGACTAATTTGTTTTTAGAATAAGTCTAGTCTCATTAAACTTGGCCTGCTTATTTATACAAGTGCAGTAAGAATAGTGGTTAACCATACAGAATCTTTTAAATCTACTTTGCTGCAACTTTTGATAAGGAATCTCAGGTTAAACTTTTAAAGACCTCTCAAAGCCAGGAAAGCCAAGCCAAGGACATGCCATCAAACTTTGCCTGCAATACCTATAAATTTGGGTGAATTCCTCGCTTCTTCAGGTCCCCAAAATATCTTGGAGTTCCTAGGCATACCAGAAAAGTGACTTTCCTTACTCACCTGGTTAGGCTGTTGGGAACCTGTAAGCAAGATATCGACTGTTCTTCCAAGGGGATTTTATTGGCTCCATATAATCAATCTTAGTTCCTTAAAGCTGTTTGGTTATATCCAAGTCTGTGCATGTCTCTCTCAAATATGACATTCCAGTCAAAGCCTTGATAATACAACCAGTTTCCAATTGTGTCTTGTTACAAGGAGAACAGATCCTTATTTAACTTATGCAAATAACTATATTGCCATGAAAATATAAGAATATTAACTGAGAGTTTCTGAATTCTGGAGGGGTCAGGTAGGGAGAAAAAGACAAATGTTTCAATTCTGCTTACAAAAGTATAATTTATCAAATTTGTGTAAGTCATAATTAGCTATAGAGGAAAGGTTTCCTTATATCAGGAAAACAAAAAATTAAAGAACCAGTAATATTTCAAACAGAAGTTGTAAAAAGTATAATAACCTTCATTAGTTTAGTTAGTCCAACGTGATTAATTCTTGTTGATCTTGGTCTTTTGTTAGCAGTTGTATGAAGCCATCAGTTTCTCTGTTAGAGTTCTGCAAATTCTTACCCACGTCAGTGGTGTGGTCGAAAGTTTATCAGAAGTGTCAGAATCCTTTTCATGAATCACTCTGAAGATTAAACATATTTGCAGAAGTGTCAGAGTAAAACAATAACTCTTTGTAAATGACAAAGGCTTAAAAATGCCCATGGTTAAAGGTTAGATGGGAGTTTATTATAATGCAGTAAGGAAATTTTATTATTTCTGTGACACACAACACCTAAGATAATAACTAGAATTATGGCTGATAATCTTATACCAGGACATATCAGAATTTTAGAACTTTTATAAACTTCCAGAACATTTTTATTAATAGCATTCACCCATGCAATGTAACCTAAGAAGGTTTATCATTGTTTATTTTACAATGCTTCCCACATGATTTTAGCATATCAAATAAGCCTAATTAGTTTAACAATTCCCTTTTTATAAGGAGAGGGAACAAATCTTTTGAAATGTTCCAGAGGCCCTCTGGAGCATTTCAAAGTTAGTTGAGGTAAAAAAGACTTCATCTAGAATTTTATTTGAAAACGTTGTCAAAAATATCAGAGGGGTTTTATAAGCACATGGACAAAGAAAATAGTTCAGTGGTTACCAGGGGGAAGGGGGTAGGGTCTGGGCACAGGGGGTGGAAGGGAACACCTATGTCATGACAGACAAGAAATAATGTACAACTGAAATTTCACAGTGATGTAAACTATTATGAATTCAAATAAAAAAATCAAAGGGGTTTTAAAACACTTGGTCAGATAGGATCATAGGTCACTGAGAAACAATGCTTAGTAATCCATGTAACTAAAGTGACAATTGAAGATGTTAAAGGAAAATACGGAAAGTTAAATAGTTGTAAATAAACCTTAGCTCTTTTACTATAAAAGACTTAGCTTTTGAAGACAGAAAATTATTTTGACAAAACAAGAATTCTTAGTTTTCTAGGTAGATTATTTTAAAAGGTAAAGAAAAGCCTTTTACAATATCTTATCAAGAGTAGACCAATAGTCCAAGAACACTTTCTTCTTTAACAGAGAGAAAACCAAATTCTAATTTTGCACCAACTTACTTTTAACATTAAAATTCATTCATTCCAATCTTAGCTAGTCCTGATTATGAGTAAAATTTCTTTCCAAAGATTCCTTCTCCATAAACCTTCTACAACTTTCTTTTTTACATCTAGATTTTGTCCTTTCCTCCTTCTCATAACCAGTTTTTACTTTGGGACAATATACTTTCTTTTTCCTTAACAAATACGTATCTTCATTTCTCATACCTCTTTTTTACCTAAAAACACACCCTACTTTTCTTATATAGAGCTATTTCTCGTATTATTTCTAGTAGTTTTAACTAAATATTAACTAGAATTTTCAACCCTCAGAAACCTCAATTTCCAGTAAAAACTAAGAAGTAAGCAGTTGTGAACTGTCTGCCACACTAGTATTCTTTAGATTGTCAAATTTGTGAATACATCTCATAGTTTCTAGAGACATATGCTTCCTTAGTACATTTTTAAATATGGCACAGACATGTTTACTGACAGACCCAAACATCTTTAGTTTCTCTGCAATAAAAAGCCAACAGTAAATAGATCTATGTTTAGTAATTAATGTTTCATTGTTTTATCTTATTTGGAAATGATCTAGATATTCAATAAATTTCTATCATTTAATTTAACTTAGCAAAACTTTAAGGTTTCAAGTTACTAAAAAGACTTGGGAAACTTATTTAAGTAGACATATCATGAAACAATCATTGTTAAAAAGTTCACCTAAAATATCCTTATTTTTTTTGTTTGCCTAATTTCCACATACCTTCTTTGAAGTTCCTTCTGATGAGAAATTTCTCTCTAAGGTATGCATTTCAAAGAATGGGTTTTAGGTCCTAGAGAAAATGGGGGTAGAAAATCTACATAACAAAGGCACAGAGAATATCCAAATTTTTTCCAAGGTGGAGTTTTTGGGGCATATTTGCCTATTATCAGAGGTCTAGGGTAATTTCTATTTAATTTTTTCCAGTAAATACAGACAATTCTGTTTCCAATGTACTGATCTTTTATAATGTCTATAAGCATTTTGAGATGAACAGGATAGGTTTGGGGATTGGTGAAGATAGGGGAGCTTTTGAATTGTTTCTAGAGCCACATTTTTGCTTTTGTAGAGATTTGCAAGACAAAGATAGTTGTTTTCAATTTCTCAAAGAATTGAGTTGTAGCCTGAATATTAAGAGGCTGACCTGTCCATCCAACTAAACTTGCTTCTTCATTTCAGGGAGATTGCCAACTAAGATGGAAATCAAAAGATTTCTATATTCTAGAACTTCAGGACAATTATTTAGACTGTGAACTCTCTATGAAATTTTTCAATTTAGAAGTTTTTCCAATGTAAAAGGTCCATCACCTGGCCAGTGATAAGTAGGATCTTTTAATTTCAATAGTGACTCAAACCAATAAGCCTTTTTATGACTTACCCAAGGATGCAAGGGGTGTCCCACAAGAGAGTGCCAAGGATGACGTCCTCGCAAGATCCAAAAAGTTTATTCCAGAGGACAGTCTTAAGGAAATAAAAGATCTTTGTTGCCACAGGTGGTAAGAATGGTATAGCGAAAGTGGTGTCCCTGGTCTCCTGCATAAATGCGAGACACCTCCAGTCACAAACGTACTAATCTGTGACACCAGCTACTGGAATGGGGCTTTTCAGGCACTAATGAAGCAATGAAGTTGAGATGACAAAGGCCTCTTATGGACTGAGATCCCTTATGACAAACTCCCCTGAGAGCTGGCACAGCTGGAAGAAGAGAGTGCTGCTTGTGATTTTGTGTCTCAGAACCCCGGTCTATCTAACTGGCCACAAAGGTACACCTTGCTTAGTGCACATTCTGGATGGCGGAGACCAGAGCGTGTTCTCACTTGTCATGAAGCCAAGCTCTCAGGACACAGAACAGGATGAAAGGGCAAATAACACAACAGACAGAGACAAAGAAAAGTAGTGACCATCTCTGGGAGGAAAAGGATCAATAAAACGAAGATTACCCCACCAAATAACCAGAGTAACTATGCCCAAGGAATAAGTTCCACAAATATTTTGTCCTACTAATCTAAATTTAGAAAGAGAGAAAAAGTTCTCTCACTACTCTCACTTCCACTGAACCCCACAGACAAAGATTTTGGGAGACTGACATGGTAAGAAATCTTACCTTCTGCTGGCTTTTGTCACCTGTTCCAGAATCTCTCAGTTGCAGCAGACTTGGTGGGGGAGCAGAGTTCCAGCCAGCAAATTTGATCCTGCCAACTACGTGAACTGTCAGGGAGGAAAAGTTTCTCCTCTGCTTTAAAGATCCTGATTGGTCTAAGAATTAAATTGACCTGAGACAGATTAACAGGAGAAAAATGAACAGAAGTTTAGCAACATGTATACTTCCTGTATGCATGGGTGGGACCCAGGAAAACTGAGTAACTTGCCAGAATGGCTGAAGCCACTACCTTAAATACCATCTCCAGGCAAAGACAAAAGGATATGTTGTGGGTAGGGGGAGTCAGTTATGAAAGCTTACCCAGAAAAGCACAGTAAACAAGAGTAAGATTGTTAGCCAGTTTTAAGTCATTGCCTTCACCATTGATAAGAATTTCTAGAGACTGAGACATCTACCTCTTCCTGGTACAGCGAGAGAGACACCCTTACAAAAGGAGATTTTCATTATAAATTTTACAAAGGGTAACTTCTCCTTGGTTTTCAGAGTGTCTCCCATGTCCAGTGTTTCTTAAAAATAACTTGTCTAAAATAATCCTTATGCCAAAGAGACATATTTTGGGGTGACAAATTCTATTCCTCTACAATGTTAATAATTACATCTTCAATGACTGTATCTCCAAATAAGGTCACATTCTGAGGTACTGGGAGTTAGGGCTTCAACATACGAATTTTGTGGGATCCAGGTCAACACATAACATGTGCCAATGCTTTGCATATATTTTGTGATTTTATTCTCACAACAACACTTTTATGTAGGTAATGTTACCCTAATTTTAGAGATGAGGAAACTGAGGCTTAAATAATTTGTTAGTTTGTCCAAGATTGTACAGCCAGTAAATGGCAGGAACAGGATTTAGAACCTGGACACTGATTCCAGAACCCGGGATTTTGACTACTTCATTGTACTGTCTTATTTCTCCTCATATCATTTTTACTTCCCCTTCCCTTATAGTTGCAGGAAGTTTCTTGCCATAAACTAATGAACATCACAGTCATGCACTGCATAACAATGTTCAGTCAATGACAGAAGACATATACAATAGTGGTCCCATAATATTATAATGGAGCTCAAAAATTCCTATTGCCTGGTGACATTGTAGCTATCATAACATTGTAGCACAATATATTACTCATGTGTTTGTAGTGATGCCAGTGTAAATAAACCTACTGCGCTGCGAGTCATATAAAAGTATAGCACATACAATTATGTAGAGTACATAATACTAAATAATGATAATAAACGACTATGTTACTGGTTTTTGTATTTACTATACTGTACTTTTTATTGTTATTTTAGAGTGCACTCTTTCTACTTATGAAAAAACCAGTGTGTTGTAAAACAGTCTACTGTGTTACACCGGCAGCAGCCTCATACATCTCATGTATACCATGGCTCTTGATTTCATCATCTTCTCTTGTGGTTGATCTAATCTCATGCTGTTTTGTTCATCATGGCCCCGAAACATGCAAAATCCACTGCTAATGTTGCCCGTATGAGGCCACATCAAATGATTGACTGGGAAACAAAATTAAAATTGATTAAGAACTATGAAAGTGGAAAACCAGTGATGGTTATTGCTCACCAGTCAGATATGTCACATTCTACCATAGCTATGATCTTAAAGAACAAGAACAAAGTGGTGAAAGCTGCTAAAGGATTGAAGGTAATGAGATGAACAAAAATTCCAGAAAGGCCTATATCAGACATGGAGAACCTTTCTAATGACCTGGTTTGAAGACCAGACATAGAAGCATATTCCTCTCAGCACTGTGACAATCGTGATCCAAGCAAAAAGTTTGTTCACAGTGCTGAAAGAAAAGGCTGGACCTGACCACGATGTTGAATTACTGCTAGCTCTGGGTGGTTTAAGTGATTGAAAAATCATTATTCATGACATAATGTGAAAGTGAGTGGTGAGTCTGCAAGTGCTGAGGTGAAGGAAGCTGAAGAATTTGTGAAAACCCTAGATAAGTTGATTGTGGAGGAAAATTACTTTCCAGAGCAAACATCCCACGTGGATGAAACCTCCATGTTCTGGAAATGGACTTTCATCTATAAGGTGAAAGGACTTTCATCCACAAGGAGGCCAAGTCAATGCCAGGTTCTAAGGCTCTTAAGGACAGGGGCAATGTTGCAGGCTACAAGTTGAAACCTTTTGTGACCTGGCATAGTGAGAACCCCAGGGCCTTCAAGCATATCAGTAAGCACACACTGCCAGTGTACTACAGGAGTAAAAAGAAGTCATGGATGACCCAGCTCCATTTCCAGGATGCCCTCCTGAATTGCTATGCCAGCAAAATGGCGAAGTACTGTTTGGAGAATAACATACATTTAAAGATGTTGCTTATTGTTGGTAATGCTCCCCGACCTCCTTCTTTTATTGGTGATCTTCATCCCAATGTCAAACAGTGCTTCTCCCTCCAAACACCACCTCTTTGATCCAAAAGTGAACAAACAATGCGGATCAAAACAGTGGATCAAGGAGCTATAGCAGCTTTTAAGGCCTACTGCCTGAGGAGGACCTTTGCCCAGGCTCTTGCTGCAACTGAGGAAGACACCGATGCAATTCTGGAAGGATTACAACATCTATGACTGCATCGAGGACCTTGCTTGGGCTTGGGGTGATGTCACCAAGGAGTATATGAATGGCATCTGGAAGAAGACACTTAAGAGGTTCGTCCGTGACTTCAGAGGATTTGCCAAGGATGAGGAGGTTGCGAAAATCAATAAGGCTGTGGTTGAGAAGGTGAACAACTTTAACGTGGGTGTGGATGAGGATGACATTAGGGAGCAAGTAGAGCTGGTTCCTGAGGTATTGACTAACCAGGAATTGTTGGAACTGGAACAGGAACGCATAGCTGAAGAAGAGGCAAGACAAGAGGAAACTTCAGGAGAAGAAAAAGGAGAAGAACCCTCAAGAAAATTCGCAGTGAAGGGTTTAGCAGAAGCTTTTGCAGAGCTCAACAAGCTCCTGAAAAAGTTTGAAAACATGGATTCCAACACTGAAAGGTTTTCGTTACTAGAAAGGAATGTTCATGGTGCATTATCTGCTTACAGGCAAATCTATGACGAAAAAAGGACACAAACCAAACAAACCGTGATAGTCATTTTTCTGAAAAGAGTGACACCTCCTCAAGAAGAGCCTCAGGCAGGTCCTTCAGGACGTATTCCAGAAGAGGACACCGTTATCACAGGAGATAGCTGCTCCATGTGTGCTATTGTCCCTGAGGACCTTCCAGTGGGACAAGATGTGGAGTTGGAAGACAGTGATATTGATGATCCTGACTCTGGACAGACCTATGCTAATGTGTGTGTTTGTGTTGTAGCTTTTAACAAAAAAGTTTAAAAAGTAAAAAAAAAAAATTTTTTAAATAGAAAAAAGCTTATAGAATAAGGATATAAAGGAAGAAAATATTTTTTGTATAGCTATGCAATGTGTTTGTGTTTTAAGCTAAGTGTTATTACAAAACTGAAAGTTAAAAAATTAGAAAGTTTATAAGGTAAAAAGGTTACATTAAGTTAAGCTTAGTTTATTATTGAGGAAAGAAGCATATCTTTTTAAAAATTTAGTGTAGCTTAAGGCTGCGGTGTTTGTAAAGTCTACAGTAATGTCCTGGTTCTTCATATTCACTCACCACTCACTCACTGACTCACCCAGAGCACCTGCCAGTCCTGCAAGCTCCATTCATGGTAAGTGCCCTATACAGGTGGACCATTTTTTTCTCCTTTATACTGTATTTTTAATGTACCTTTTCTATGTTTATATATGTTTAGATACACAAATCCCATTGTATTACAATTACCTACAGTATTCGGAGAGTAACGTTATATAGGTTTGTAGCCTAGAAGCAATGGGCTATGCCATATAGCTTAGGTGTGTAGTAGGCTATTTCATCTAGGTTTGTGTAAGTACACTCTCTGATGTTTGCACAGTGGTGAAATCGCCTAATGATGCATTTCTCAGAAAGTAGCCCCGATGTTAAGTGAGGCATGACAGTAGTAGTAAGTAAAATTTCTGATACTCTAACACTGCCACCTGGCGGTGAAAGCAATTAAAGCATTTTCCAACTTCCTAACAAAAGTTGCCTTACCGGAAATGCTCAGTGGTCTTTTCCCCTGATTAATAACACCAATACAGTCAAGCAGTTATGAATTCTGCTTGATCCTGCTTTAAACCTAATACAAGGCATATGAGAAAATGTAAGAACAGAACAGCACAAACTTAGAGCCCCTGAAGGGATCTAAATTTTGCTGATTAAAATACATAACCCATCATAGAAGACTCTGGAGTATCTATTCTGTGATAATATATATTTGATAACTTTATACTTTGAAACATATACCTGGGCTTATTCTATTTTGAAAAACAGGTTTCCCCTGATGCCCTTGCTCTGATGATTCATTCTAGATACTATTATTTTTTTGCTGTCCAAATTAGGATTCAAAAATAACTTAAGATTAGTTAGCAGTTACTAACCATTTACTGCTCTTGGCAAGAAAAAAAGAGGGGCTGTACAGAGGAATTGGCTTTGTTGCTTTTCCATCTCACGTAATTTCCTAGGCCTTCATCGGGCACCTGTCTCTACCATTTGCTATCCACCATTAGGAATGTCTTACTATAAGTTCAGAAGTAACATGGGCATGACGTGCTCAGCAATAAGCTAGAAAAAAATCATATCGAAAGCAAATAATTTTAGAGCTGGACGACACCTTAGTGCTTGTCTAGTCTAGATCACACCTTCTGTTTGTGTTTTCCAGGGGGATGATGGGAAATCTTGGAAGAAAGGAATTGCTCAATTGGTTTTTAGTGGATGGTGGTCCGAATCGGAAAGTACTCATCATGGGTCCCTGTAGCCTGTAAGGACAAGGCCAAGATGGGTGTGGGTCTGAGCCTGATCCTGAGCCTGGGGCTAGAGTGCTGACTGACAGCTGTAACAATGATTCATTTTCATCTTGGATCCGCAGCTCTCAAATGCTCTCAACCACAACATCATGACAAACTGGTGTGCCCAGCTGAGATGCAAGCCGTACTGCAAGTAAGACGTTACTGATAATTATAGTCCCACCATTTGCAAATGCTTTCCTTTAAACAGTTTCAAACTAGGAGAAAAGTTGCAGGTTCAGTACAAAGATCTTTCCCCCCAGAACCATCTGAGAGTAAGTTGCCAGCCTGATGTTCCATCATCCCTTAATATTTCATTGTATTTTTCCTACCAACAAGGATGTTCCCTTAGATAACCTCATACAGCCATCACAATCAGGAAATTAACACCGATCCATTACTACTATCTAGTCCTCAGAATCCATCCAAGTTTGGCCAGATGTTCCAATAATTTCCTAACTAGCAAAAGGATTTCATTCAGAATCAAGCACTGCCCTTATTTGTCGTCTCTCTTTTGTCTCTGTCACTCTAGAGCAGTTCCTCAGTTTTTCTTTGACTTTCATTACCTTGAGACTTTCAAAGTTTGAAGTTATTTTACTTATTTAATTTTTTTTGAGGGAGATTAGCCCTGAGCTAACATCTGCTGCCAATCCTCCTCTTTTTGCTGAGGAAGACTGGCCCTGAGCTAGCATCCGTGCCCATCTTCCTCTACTTTTTTTTTTTGTGGGACGCCTACCACAGCATGGCTTGCCAAGTGGTGCCGTGTCTGCACCCAGGATCCGAACCGGTGAACCCCAGGCTGCTGAAGCGGAACGTCTGCACTTAACCACTGTGCCACCGGGCTGGCCCCAAAGTTTGGAGTTATTTTATAGAATGTCCATCAATTTGTTTTTGTATGATGCTTCCTCATGATTAGATTCAGATTACGCATCTTTGCCAGAAATATCATAGATATGATGCTGTGTTCGTCTCATTGTGACCCATTAGGTAGTATATAATTTCAATTTGTCCCATTATTGACAATCTTCACATCGATCATTTGATTAAGGTAGTGTCTCCCTGTGGTGTTGCCTTTGTAATTAGTGGGCATTTTGTCGGGGAGACACTTTGAAACTATGTAAATATTCTATACCTCATCAAAATTTCTGTTTATTAATTTATTATTTTTATACCAGTGTGAACTCATGGTTTTCTATTTATCTAATGAGTTATAATGTATCACTATAATAATTTATTTTGATGCTCAAATTATCTCACATTTGGCCAATGTGGGCCACTATAAGCTAGCTCTATGAGCTAGTCTATTGACATATCCTCATCATTCTTGAATATCTCCTTGCTTTCTGGCACAAAAAATTTTCCAAGTTAATCTAGTATTTTCCCTGTTCTGGTCATGAAATCAGCCATTTTTTTCAAAGAGCCCTGGTTTATTATATTAAATAAGCCAGAGAGAATGTTATTTAGAAGCCAAGAGCTGAGTGCCAGCTGGAGGATATATGTATGTATGTACATACACATATATGTGTATATATACTCTGTATTGAAAACCACGAGGTCACACCAATATTTCTAATTTTAATCTAATACCACAGTACTCTCTATTTTCATATCTGCAGCTCTCTTCTCTGATAGCAAGAAACCTGACTCTTCGTATCCTCAGTATGCTTGCTTCCTTCATCAATCCCCCTGTTGGCAACCAATCTCCCATTATCACTTCTGCCCCCTGTCCTGCCAGGACGGCCTGCCCACCTACTCAGGCCACACCTGAGCCGGGTCTCTCCTCTGCATGGCCACCTTCCTCACCCTGCTGGGGCCTGATACCCCATTCTGAGCTACCAAGTACCCCCCGCCCACCTCCCCGGACATGGATGCCTACTGTCCTCTGACTTACCTAATGGCTTTAGGACTGACGTGTTCAGGGACAGAAAGGAAGGAAAGGGAAGGGAAAGAGGAGGGAGAATAGAAAGAGCTGCACACAATTAAAAATATCAAATTATAGCAAATTCTCTTTTACTTGCTTATGTTCTGATGTTTTTTTCTTTCCCCACTAGAATGTAAGCTTCATGAGATGGAGCCCGTGTCTGTGTTATTTACCATTGTATGTTTAACACTTAGCACATTTCCTGACACAAAGTAGGTGTGTTTAAAACTTTCTGAATAAACGAATGAAATGAGAAAAAAAGATCTTTATAGCTACCATGCTGGGGAAAGGTACATAACCTACAGCCCAACTTATCCAAGCCTTACCCTGAAATCTGGCACAGTGTGTGGCGCATAGTAGGTATTCAGGAAGCTCTTTTTAAGTGGATAGACCCAAGGAATTATCTGATACTTACGTTTCATCTGTTATGTGTATCATAGTGGGGGAAAAAAGCTGGGAACTATGGTTTTAAATGCTGAAACAAGCTAAATTTTCAAATGATACCAGGATGAATAAGCTCAATGTTCAATTTGAACATAATATTTAACACTTCACAAGTGTTTGTTAAATTAGGGAAGTGCAATTATTAGAGATAGAAATGGAGTAGGAGAAATTCAGGCTAGTACATCTGAGGAGGAGAAAAGAAGTTGAAGAATTGAAATACAGGGTAAGACTGATGCTGTGCAAACACAGAGGAAAGAGCTCCATGGGCCCCAGTAGAGATAACACACTGCTGACAAAGGGAAGAAGCTGAGGGCTTCACTCTGGTTATAACCTTAAGAATGGGTCCTCATTTCAAGTTTTAGTGACATATTGACAACAAGTTGTTCACACAATTCACCAGCTTCCGTTTGCTTGTTGCTAGACTTCCTTCTTCGTGGGCAAGGAGTGCATTTCTGACTAAAATAACTCAATTACCTCCCCCACCCGGGTGAAGCGTGAAAACAGGTCCTACAAACTTTTCAGCTGAAATATTTAGGCTCTTTTACATCAGTCAGAAAGATGAATTGTTCATCCATTCAACAAATACTGCTTGCCTACTCTGTGCAAGGTGCTGTCTTGGGTGCAGGAGGTATGGTGCCGACAGGGCTGATAGGATCCCTTCCCTCCTGGGGCTTGCAGCCTAACAGGGGCCGGAGCAGAGGGACACAGGGCAGGATATAGGACACATCATAGAGCCAGGATGTCTGAAGCAAAATGGGGACTTCCAGGTTTTGGAGCAAGGAATCAGTCCTTCAGACCGCGCAGTCACTGCTTTTGCTTGAAATGTTGTAACTCCACAAAACGCGCTTCCCCGAAGCAGGCAAAAATGATGTTTCTGTTATGGACCCTGTTCTCTGCCCCAGGAGAGCAGGTACCTGGGCAGAGATTACAATCGGCTGCGTCTGATATTGCTCTGACCCAGACTACTTCACTGTGTCTCGTTTGGGGCTCTATATGTGAGGCAAAGTTACAAACTATTAAAAATAAGATATATGGGGAAAGGTGAAAATAATGACATAGAGGGAGGTTGCTGGTGATTTGAATAATGGCCTTCAGACCTTCAAAGTGTAAACGACTGATGTTAGGCCAAGAAAATTTTCTCAGGATTTGAGCCCAAAAGTATTTGAAAGAGTCAGGTCCCTAAAACAAAAAGGAAGAATCATTATCATTATCAGTAATATTATGCCGATGCTTGAGTAAAACAAACACACAAACACAACAACGTGCAGTATCAGGGCTGGGAACACAAACAAGCCTAGAAGCAGAGACCCAAATTCCAGTTTTAGTTTCTAAAGTATTTGCAAGTTGGATATTTCCAAGTTTGGATGTCAGGAGAAAGAAAAAAAAGTCCCTCGAGGCCACATGTAGAGGAAGGGCTGTAGACACAGACTGACTAACATTCTGCTTCCTGCTTTTTATTTGATTTGACTCTTTAAAAAAAACAGAGAGAAGAATTGCTGATATGCAGGCCACCCCGATGCTAGCGTACGTGGGCTTTGAAAAGCTTCTATAATTTCTGTCTCTTTGTGATTATGTGTGTTGATGTATAGAGCAAGAAAAACAGAACCGAGAGATGGGTTTCCCAAGTCCCACAGCCACAACCTTATCCCTGACCATGAAAGCATTGTCCCTTGAAAGTCAGATATAACCAATCAATTGACATTTATTTTCCACTATGTGCCAGACCCTGGGCAAGGGGCTTTCTCATAAGGCTGAGCTGGGTGAGAGGCTAGGATAAGGGATATAACCAAAACTTGGGGATCCAACAGGAGCTGATGGGGATCCAACAGGAGCTCTTGGGGGTCACATGCTCACTCCCCGGCACTAGATCTGAGCATTCTCATAGACCTTCTGAGTGTTTTCCTTATAGAAAATAGGAGAATTTTGCTTCTCTTTTCTTTCCCATTCTTGTCAGTTCAAGTGTTTTTCGCACATCTTAGTAACCATATATTTCATTTTCCACCCATCCAGACTCCTTGCTCCTGCCCGTTCGGTCCGGGGAGAACTCATAAATGTCATTGGTCACGAAGCCACTCTCCATGCTTGCCAGAGTAACGAATCCGCTTTCGGATGGGTTCACAGCCATGTTGTCATAGTCACAAGACATCTCCTCGGGAGTGGCTTCTCCGGAACGCACTCGGAATGAAATGTTCTTCAGGTCTGGCCGGGTCTCTGCTAAATCAGCTTCACTTTGTTTTCGGATGATGTTATAAACCTCTAGGTCCGGGCTGTGCCCTGGGTGCGGAGAGGGCCAAATTGTTTGCTGCTCCTTTGTGCTGGGGCCTGGCTGCTCCCGCTTCCTAGGAGGAAAGGAGACCAGGGCTGAGTACTTTAGACAAAGTGATTGAGAACATCCCTGTGCCTCCTGCTCAGGCAGGAGGAGGTCATCCTGGGCCACCTCTCTGCGGCACTTCTCCCCCAAGCTTACAGGTCAGGGCTTCGAGGTGGGGTGGGTGAGAGGACAAAACAGGAAGGTGTTGTTACGTTCAAAGTGATTGTTTATCTGTTATTCACTGCTGCCAGAGCATAGAACAGAGGTGGTTATCCTGGGATCCCCAGAGCCCCCAGGCGGTCTTAGGATAGGACTGGGTGGGGAAAAATAACACATTTCTAAAAACTCATCTGTAGGTGAAATTTAGCCTGTCTTTCAAATCTGAATGTAGGCGATAAACCAGAGTAGAATTAGTAATGTCTTTGACTTGATCACCAACAAAAACAGTAGATATGATTTTTTATATGACATCACAATTACTATAGATGCCTTAAAATATTTTACACTCATCTCTACTACAAAATTATGATAATTATTCCCACTACTGAATAAAAAAGCATGAATAAAGAAGTGCATGTGTTACGGTATCACATATTCATTTTTTTTAATTTTAAATTTTTATTTTCTTTGAGGAGGATTAGCCCTGAGCTAACATCTGCCACCAATCCTCCTCTTTTTGCTGAGGAAGACTGGCCCTGAGCTAACATCCGTGCCCATCTTCCTCTACTCTGTAGGTGGGATGCCTGCCACAGCATGGCTTGATAAACAGTGCGTAGGTCTGCACCTGGGATCCGAACCGGTGACCCCTGGGCTGATGAAGCAGAACATTCGAACTTAACTGCTGTGTCACTGGGCTGACCCTCACATATTCAGTTTTGGAAATATTTTGCTAAACTATTTATCAGTATAAATGCTTCCCTTGCAATCCAATGTATTTTATTTTATGCATTTAAAAATACTGTTCCGGAAAGGGGTCCATAGGCTTCACCAGACTGCTACAGGGGTCTGTGGCACAAAAAAAGGTCAAAAAACCCTGAGATAGACTCCAGCCTCAGAGTCACAGTTCCCAAATCCTAGTGAGGTGCTAAATAGATAGAGAAAGGAAAAGAAATCAAGTACCAACTGCAGAGTAAGCAGTTGGAAAATATATTTGTAATTTTTTGAACTGAATTCTATTTTTAGATTAAAAGGAGTTAACTAATAACAGTGATCATGGTAAGAGCTAACATTTTGAGTGCTTACTATATGCCCACTCTGCATGTATTAACCGCTTTAATTCTTCTAATAATCCTATAAGGAAGTTATTATTAAATGAAGTATGTTGGACATTGGACTCTTACTAATTCATCTTAAATTGGCATTCAAAGTGAGTCAAATCTTACATTGGACCTTAGTTTTCCTGTTGTAAAAGCTTTTTCTATGTAAACCATGATGATGGGGAATAAAAAGTTAGCTGAGAAGAGCTCTGGGTACTTCAAAAATGGTGGCATGTGGTCCACAAACAGGTACTCTAGGTGACTTAGTGTAGCTATTTTGTAGCAGTCTACAATTATCTATTCAATTAGAAGAAAAGCCAATTAAAAGTATATGAGGGTCAATCCCGGTGGCTGATGGTTAAATTCAGTGTGTAGCCCAGGTTCAGTTTCCAGGCATGGACTTGCATTGCTATGTTAGTGGCCATGCTGTGCTGGTGGCCCACATACCAAAAAATAGAGGAAGATCAGCTCAGATGCTAGCTCAGGGCAAATCTTCCTTAGCAAAAAAAAAAAAAAAAAGATTTGAATTATTTCATTTTGAAATTAAGTGAGTTAGTTTCAGATGTTTGCCAGAATGCTTTGGGACATTTTCCCTATGGCTCACTAGTCATTCCTTCACTCACCCAACAAAAATTTTTGGAGTGAGAGCTTTGATTCACGAAAGAACTTTGCCGAGTGATGAGTGGATACACAGGAGGTGAATAACACAGCTTCACCCCTCAAGTCATTTAAAATATTCCACATAAAAAATGAAAGAATATAAAATTAGTTAACCACAACTAAGCACCAGTGCTTAGTACTTCTGAATGCCCTAGCCCATCAGAGAATTTACTCTGAACTCTGCAATGGTGATTCTCTTGGAGCTGCCTAGCTTTTAATGAAATAAACAGGGTTTGTGTCAGAAGATACAAAGGTTTACATGACAAAGGTTTTACTTGCCTCCTTCGACAGATCCAAACCCAGCATACAACTGTGGTGACCACAAGGAGGAGGAGAAGAGGAATGCTGGGGATTAGGATGTAGGCAAGATTCAAGTCAGCTTCTGAAAAGAAAAACGCACATTATCAGCACTAGTGATGTTTTTACATCCTTCAAAACAGGCTAAAAAAGCAGAATCAGCACAGAGTATTCCAGAGAGCACATTCCTGGGAGGAAATAGATGTGCAGTTACCCAGTTAGCAAAGTCCTCTAGTTTCAATAAAGGAACATTTCCCACCTGTCCTATTATCTGAGGTAATAGAGAAAAGAAGTTTAAATTTTGGGGTCTCTTGCAAAATGTCAGAAGGGCACTTTTGTTCATTAAAATTTTTTTTTTCAGAGGAGAGAGATTCTCTCTTTTCTTGTTCTTCCTCGCCTTCAGTGAAGAAGGGGCTGCTGGGGCAGTGTTGATGTTTTTGACTCTAAGGACAAAAATAGTAGTTCCCAAGGTGGGGTGAGGGAGAGGGAGGGAAAAGAGGCAAGCCAGAAGCCTCGGGGTTATTACCAGGAAAGAGAAGGTCACATGAAGCATGTGGCTCAGACTGTAGCGCCCTCCCAACATTTCTAAGACGAACTGGATCCAACTGGGCCCACGAGCACGAGTGTGGAAGGTGCTTCGAGGTCTGCTTTCCTGACCTCTTCTGTCCTTTGAGTCTTAGAACCAGAGAATTTTCCCTCAAGGGGCTTTGGGAGGAATGAAGGATTGGAGACTGACTCCCTTCCTACTTCCCCTGGTGCAAGATCCCCAGCCTTCCAGGGACTGTTGATGTGTTTTTCCGTCAGGCTGCAAACCTGACAACCACCAAACAAAACCCCAAACCAAAACCCCCAAAACAAACCAACCAAAAACCCCCAAACCAAACCCACTTTAAATACCACCATAATAACAATAAGAAATAAAAATGCCACTCACTTCTGCATAGCACTGTGTACTTTTTCCAAAGCATTTTCACACACTGTATCTGTTGTATAATAAAGAAATTGACTGGCATTTATCCCTGGTTCCTGGGAAGGAGGCTCTAACTCCTTGGGATTTCTCAGGTAATATTTCGTGAGCCTCTCAGACCACATCAGTTTATGCTGACAGAGATGTCTCAGGATGGGGGCTGGTGGGGAGGTAAGGGGGCCTAGAGACTGAATTCAGTTACACGGCCAATGATCAAATCAATCATGTCTACATAGTGACACCTCAATAAAATCTCTGCACACCAAAGCTCAGTGGAGCTTTCTGGTTGGTGAACACATTGATGTGCCAGGAGGATGATAAGGCATCGTGATTCCACAGAGAGAGGACACAGAAGCTCCCATTTGGGACCCTCCTAGACCTCACCCTACGTGTTTCTTCCTTTGGTTGGTCCTGATTTGTATCCTTTATAATAAAATGTAGTCATAAGTATAGTGTTTTCCTGAGTTCTGTGAGCTGTACCAGGAAATTATTAAACCTGAGGGGCTCGTGGGCAGTGCCTTGGTTTGTAGCCAGTTGATCAAAAGTTCAGACGGCCTGGGGACCCTGAACTTGTGGCTGATGTCAGAATTGAGGGCAGTCTTGTTGGAGACCGAGCCCTTAACCTGTGGGGTCTGCATTAACTTGGGGTGGCTAGTGTCAGAACTGAATTGTAGTATTGTAATATCCTATTTCATTTTACGGACACAGCAATGCTCTCAGATAGGTAAGAAAAATATTATTAGTGCCATTTTGCAAATGACTAAATTGAAGAACAGAGAAACTAAGTGGTTTTCACAGTGACAAAAACAGATCTCACTCTTGAAACTCAGGGTGAGAGTTGAGGTTGAAAGTCCATTAGCACTCCAATTTATCACCGCATTTTCTCTTATCTTTTATGATTTAACTTTTAAAATGTTTTTGTCCATTTCCTCTATTTGTTTCACAAATGAATATAAATCATGGATATTATGCATCATGGTCTGGGCCTCTCTCTACTTCCATTCTCAGTCCCCCACCCCCTCCCGCCACCACTTCTGGGTGCTTCCCAAGGCTCTGTCTTCACACAGATTTTTCACGTCCTCTCTAGTTTAATCTCCCCAATTATCTTAGGATAGCTCCATTTGTATATTTCACTAATGAAATCTAGCATTTAATGCAATTTTTGCAAAGTCACTAATGCCCTGTTTAGTTCCATTTTTAAATAGCTGAGGGAAAGAACAAAGTGGGAATGTAACCATGGGTAATTTGAGATCAAGAAAGTCCCATTAGCTATTTTTCCCAGGACAGTTCTGTACACACCTTTGCTTTCTTTAAATGTTTCTTTGGCATCTCCCTTCTCTGTGTCTTCTGGAAGTACGGGTGTGGCTGGCTCTGTTCCTTGACCTGGAGAGAGAACATGGACTTGAGAACCTGGAGAAAGACATCAAAATCCAGATATTCTCTGAGGTCCTACCAGGTTCAAGGTGAGATGCCAAAAAGCAGTGGCAATTTGACCAATGCCTTCATAAACAGAAAAGTAAAGGGTTGAATTTGCTGGCCTAGGGGTTTAGCTGTCTTCGTCTTTCTGACGAGACTCTTGTTGCCAAGAACATGCATAGTCACGAGTTGCTTAACGATGGGGATACGTTCAGAGAAATGTGTTGGTAGGCAATATTGCCATTGTGCGAACATCACAGAGTGTACTTACACAAACCTAGACGGTATAACCTACTCCACACCTAGGCTACATAGTATAGCCTATTGCTCCTGGGCTAAAACCCGTACAGCATGTTACTCTACTGAAAACCCTAGGCAATTGTAATACAATGGTAAGTATTTGTGTATCTAAACATATCTACACATAGAAAATGTACAGTAAAAATATGGTATAAAAGATAAAAAAGAGTACACCTGTATAGGGCACTTATCATGAATGGAGCTCGCAGGAATGAAAGATGCTCTGGGTGAGGCAGTGAGTGAGTGGTGAATGAATATGAAGACCAAGCACGTTACCGTGCACTACTGAAGACTTTACAAACACTGCACACCTGGGCTACACTAAATTTATAAAGGTTTTTTTCTTTCTTCAATAAGAAATTAACCTTAGTTTAATGCAAACTTTTTACCTTATAAACTTTTTAAATTTTTAAAACTTTTTGACTCTTTTGTAATAACAGCTTAAAACACAAACATTGTACAGCTGTACAAAAAATATTTTGTTCCTTTATATTCTTATTCTATAAGCTTTTTTTTATTTAAATTTTTTTTTTTTTTTACTTTTTAAACTTTTTCGTTAAAAAGAAAGACATAAACGCACACATTAGCCTAGGTCTACAGAGTCAGGATCACGAATATCATTGTCTTCCACCTCCATGTCTTGTCCCACTGGAAGGTCCTCAGGGACAATAACACACATGGAGCAGCTATCTCCTATAACAATGTCCTCTTCTGGAATACGTCCTGAAGGACCTGCCTGAGGCTCTTCTTGAGGAGGTGTCACTCTTTTCAGAAGAATGACTATGGCGGTTTGCTTGGTTTGTTTCTTTTTTTCGTCATAGATTTGCTTGTAAGCAGATAATGCACCATGAACATTCCTTTCTAGTAACGAAAACCTTTCAGTGTTGGAATCCATGTTTTCAAACTTTTTCAGGAGCTTGTTGAGCTCTGCAAAAGCTTCTGCTAAACCCTTCACTGCGAATTTTCTTGAGGGTTCTTCTCCTTTTTCTTCTCCTGAAGTTTCCTCTTGTCTTGCCTCTTCTTCAGCTATGCGTTCCTGTTCCAGTTCCAACAATTCCTGGTTAGTCAATACCTCAGGAACCACCTCTACTTGCTCCCTAATGTCATCCTCATCCACACCCACGTTAAAGTTGTTCACCTTCTCAACCACAGCCTTATTGATTTTCGCAACCTCCTCATCCTTGGCAAATCCTCTGAAGTCATGGACAAGCCTCTTGAGTGAGTGTCTTCTTCGAGATGCCATTCATATACTCCTTGGTGATATCACCCCAAGCCCAAGCAAGGTCCTTGATGCAGTCATAGATGTTGTAATCCTTCCAGAATTGCATCGGTGTCTTCTCAGTGTCTTCCTCAGTTGCAGCAAGAGCCTGGGCAAAGGTGCTTCTCAGGTAATAGGCCTTAAAAGCTGCTATAACTCCTTGATGCACTGGCTAGATCAAAGAGGTGGTGTTTGGAGGAAGAAACACTGATTTGATACTGGGATGAAGATCACCAGCAAAAGAAGGATGTCTGGGAACATTATCAACAATAAGTAAAATCTTGAAAGGCATGTTATTCTCCAAACAGTACTTTTCCATTTTGTTGACAGAGCAATTCAGGAGGGCATCTTGGAAGAGGAGCTGGGTCATCCATGACTTCTTATTACGCCCGTAGTACACTGGCAGTGTGTGCTTACTGATATGCTTGAAGGTCCTGGGGTTCTCACTGTGCCAGATCACAGAGGGTTTCAATTTGAAGCCTGCAACATTCCTCCCAAGCAAGACTGTTATCCTGTCCTTAAAAGTCTTGAAACCTGGCATTGACTTGGCCTCTTTCTGGATGAAAGTCCTTTCAGGCATATCAGAATAGGGAGATTTTATCCATATTGGATGTTTGTTCTGGCAAGTAATTTTCCTCCACAATCAGCTTACCTAGAGTTTCCAAAAATTCTTCAGCTGCCTTCACATCAGCACTTGCAGACTCACCACTCACTTTCACATTATATATTGAATGATGATTCTTGAGTCACTTAAACCATCCAGAACTAGCAATAAATTCAACATTGTAGTCAAGTCCAGCCTTTCCTTTCAACGTTGCAAACTTTTTTGCTTTGGCTGTGACTGTCATGGTGCTGAGAGGGATATGCTTCTGTGTCTGGTCTTCAATCCGGGTCATTTGAAGTTTCTCTATGTCTGATACAAGACCTGCTCACATTTTTGTTCGTCTTGTTGCCTTCAATGAAGGGGATCCTTTAACAGCTTCCATCACTTTGTTTTTTTCTTCAAGATCGTAGCTATGGTGGAATGCGACATGCCTGACTGGTGAGCAATAACCATCACTGATTTTCCACCTTTGTAGTCTTTAATCAATTTTAATTTTGTTTCTAGGTCGATCATTTGTCGTGGTCCCTTACTGGTAACATAAGCAGTGGATTTTGTATGCTTAGGGGCCATGATGAACAAAACAACACAAGATTAAATCCTACACAAGGGAAAATGATATAATCAAGAGACGTGGTAAACACAAGGTGTATGAGGCTTCTGACAGCATAACACAGCATATTGTTTTACAGTAAACTTTTTTTTATAAGTAGAAAGAGTATACTCTAAAATAATTGTAAAAAGCATAGTAAATACAAAACAGTAACATAGTCATTTATTAACATCATCAAGTATTATGTACTGTACATTATTATATGTGCTGTACTTTTATAGGACTGGCTATGCAGTAGATTCGTTTACACTAGCATCACCACAAACATGTGAGTGTGCATTTCCTATGACGTCCTGACGTCACTAGGCTATAGAAATTTTTCAGCTTCATTATAATCTTATGGGTCCACTGCTGTATATGCGGTCTGTTGTTGACAGAAATGTTGTTATGTGGTCCATAACTGTACTGAAACAACCAGCAGGTGGCTGGCATCAAGGCACACGAAACACTGAGGGAAAGGGCCAATGACTCACTTCTAGGACCATGAATTATCAGTTTGGTTCACTTCTTGTCCCATTAGATTGAATTATTCCTTTCATATTGTCAATAATGATAAGTAAAATCCCAAACTGAATTTGCAACTGTTGCTTTTCAGCTTTGAGAGAAATGGGAACACTAGAGAGTGAGATTAATGAACTGCTTGTCATGGTTGGCTATGGCATAGACCTGCCCAGATGGTCTGGACCGGTGGTCTTTCTGTTGATCAATGTGGTCTAAAGAACATATGAATCAAACCTATGAAGAAGGGTTGTGAAACAGCCCAAATTAACTGAGATCCCAAATGACAGACTTACCTCTACTTCTTGTAGAAGGAGCTGTTGGTTTCTCTGTAGCAGAAAGAGACAAAAACAAAAATAATAACTAAATTTACATGCCACTTGGATGAAATTGGCCAGAGCAAGGCATCCATTCTTTTGCTCATTCAGTCATCCAATAGACTTTATTTCGTGTTACTAGATGCCAGGAACTGGATTAGTAAATTAAAAGAATCACTTCTGCACAAAGATTAGCCTTCCCCCAGCTTTACTTGGGCACTTCTTCCTTTTTTAAAAAGCATTTGAAAACTTTTAAATATGAGAATTTCCAACTACACACAAAATTAGAAAGACTGGTAAAATGAACCTCAATGTACCATCACTCAGATTCAACTCTTACCCACATATGGCTAATCTAGTTTCAACAATCATCCCTACACCTCCCCAACCACACTCAGGCCTGGATTACTTTAAAGCAATCCAAGACACTTTAACAATTCCTATTGGGGATGTTTTAGAAAGCAACACACACTGAGCTCTAAGCAGTGGAAGTGGTTGGGGGGCTAAGTAGACCACTGGCCAGCCCCAAGTCAGAGACTGGTGATCTAGAACCCTGAGATGTTTAAAATAGTTCACAGGAAAGTCAGGCTGCATAGACAAGTATACCAAATGTTTTTGCTTTAGGCTGGGAGTGCATCATTGTGTTGGCCTTGTATTGGCCTTGAATCTCTTATGCTAATCAGATGCTCTGGGATTCATAGGGATGGGGTCCTTAAAGGCAAGGTTTTAGAATTTACGGTCCTAAGGCCAGGATGTCAAGGCTCTTCTGACGTTTCATTCAGAAAGGAAACTTTTAACCACCTTCCCATAACTGTGTGTGTGTGTATAGGTGATGAAAATCCATTTAGTTATTTAAAAAACACACTTACATAGTGCTTGCCATATGATAAAAACGTCATTATGTTCGAAGTGTTTTAAAGAAACAAACCTGATTTATCCTGATAGCAGCCTTATGAGGTAGGTGCTGTTATTATTCTGATTTTGTACACAAGGAAGCCAGGTACAGAGATATTAAACAACTTGTCCAAATCTCACAGCTAATAAGTAGCCGAAATGGGATTTGAACCAAACAAATTCAAATGAAAATTAAAATGGTAAGGAGACAAATTCTCTGCTAAGTAGTGGAGATATAACAGCAAATGAGAAAGAGTCTCAGCCCTCTAAGGCTCTTATACTCTATGGGATGGGCATAAAATATGGAAATGCAGGACAATATTAATAATTATTAATTCTGTGATATTATATTATAATACATAGCATATTCGATAATATTACACAATCTATTCTTTTTCTTGTTCCTTCACGGTGCAATCCACTGTGCAGAACTGCAGTAAACATGGCACGTTAGTGCAGCATTTCCATCAACCCCTGCAAGGCATCTGCAATGCGTTGCCTCAGATGATGACTTTGATTTTCACTGAAGACGCCTATGCCTTTAGCATACCCCAGAAGTAACCAAGTGTTCAGATCTGACTAGCATGCCACCTACTCTACATGCTTATGTTGTTAAATCTAGTTTTAGATGTTATTCAACCAGTCCCTTAGCACTCAGGCGTAATGGATGGTGTGTCATCTTGTTGGAACTCTGGGTGACTTTCCCTAGCCCATCAAGTGTGAGGATTAATTGGTCAAACACGTATGTTTTCAGACCTCCTGCCAACCATGTAGCGAAGGGGACAAACCTATAAATAGGCTGTTAAGGTACTGTGTATGTGAGGTGCTCTGATCCTCACAGGAGGAACACCTAACTTAGTTTTAAGGGGCTCTGGAAGGTTTCCCAGAAGAAATTATTTTTTTAATTTCTTATTTTGAAATATTTTCAGATTTATGAAAATTTGCAAGAATAGAATTCTCATATATCCTTCACCCAAATGTTACCATTTTACCATATATCATTTATTTACTTATTCTCTCTCTATGTATATCTCTATATATTTGTATCTGTATTTTTATCTATATCTGTATGTATACACATATATGTATAGAGAACACATACAGATACATACATAACTTTTTTCCTGAGAGTAAGTTGCAGACATGGTTACCCTTTACTCTTAAGTACTTCATTGTGTATTTAAAAAGGTTTGGGGGAGGCATTCTCTTACATAACCACAGTACAATGATCAAAACCAAAAAATCAACATTGATATCCTATTATCTAATCTGAAGACCTTATTCAAGCTCTGCCAATTGTCCTAATCACGCTCTTTATAGAAAACCGTCATCATCATCGTCATCCTCATCTGCATCATCATCATTGTCCAGGATCCAATCCACGATCACCTGTTGCACTTAGTTGTCATGAGAGAAGGTGAGTTTAACCTGAGCTTGAAAGGTAAGAATGAGTTGACTGGGAAAGGGGAAAGGTGTTCCAAGCACAAGAAACAGCAATTGAGAGCTCATGGGGAATTTCATAGAGTGCAAAGGGGAAAGGGATGAGGGGAGGAGTGGGAGTGGTGAGAACTGAGGCTGGAGAGAGGCATGGGTCTGGTCATGCCGATCCTTGTATAGCATGCTAAGGTGTGTAAACTTATCCTGAGGATGGATGACCACATAAAGGCAATGTGTTAGTTTTTCTCCATGTGCCCACCTCCCTCTGCCCAATCTATTCTCTGTTCTTTTCTGTGTCCTCGGAGGCTGACCTCTATGGACTGGTCATTCGGGCTCCCTTGTCCTTTGGCTTCTGACTGGACTTAACCAATGGGTGGCAGAGGCAGGAGATCAGAGGATAGGACGAGAGGTCCCGGTATTTATTCCCCAGGCCCCTCTGTGGTTTGACAGTAGCTGCATTTTACGTTATAGCTCCTGTTGGGTGGCTCCTCTTCCATGACTCCAAGATATCTCTGGCTTCTACTAAAACCATTCTCTCCCCTCACTCCTTTAGGCCTAGGAATGGTAAGAGCTTCCCATTGTAGCTAGTCCCTGGGCACTTCACTATCTCTTGCTCTTTGCCCACACATCTGCAAATATCCTTTTATTATACTCTCCTAATTAAACCATTACATCTTTTTCCATCTTTCTCCTGCCAGGACTCAGTCTAATACAAGTAATAGCAAAAGTAATAAAGAATATGATTTTTAAAAACCTAACTAGGTTCAAAGTCCAAAACTAAATGGATATGAAAACAACTGTCAAAATCTCACATTTCAAAAAATGTTTAAAAAGTACAAAATTTTAAATCATGGAGCTAATAGTATGGAATTAAGAAAAGTGGTAGGAAGCCAGTTTGTAACAAGTGTCTTGCCTTTATTGCTCCAAAAAGGCGACCTGCCAAGCCAGCCTGGGTCTTTGCAACCTCCCTGCCTAAGACAACTCTGTATGGTGGGGAGGGCCAGGTTTCTGGAGAGAAGAATTCATCTGAGGGGGGACGAGGGAGGAAAAACATCTTTTAGCAGCGAAAGCATAGTCCAATTCAAACCATTTTAAAATGACAGGGTTAATGAGTCCCCAAGTAGATATAACTAACAGGTCATTCTACTCCTGTCAGGAAAGGATGCACAACTGGGGCCAAGCAGTCGGCCTCAGGGAGGTGAGCAACTTCAGGGACAGATCAAAATCACTTCAAGTTTAGATCTGAGTCAGTTACAATGGAGGAATTGGGGAAACTCAAGCAGAGTGAGACTAAAGGCTTGTAGCCAAGTCAAAACCCTTAACAGATCTAGAAGCAAATGCCAGTTGAATTTGCAAGGCATATATAGAGGGTGGCCTGGGGAGTCGGAGCCTGCTCATCAAAGTGTCTGCTATCTGCCCAGAGCCAGCAAAATTGGTGTGTTTCATCATCTACCTCCTCTGGTCATTATTTTGTTTCCTTAAAGCCCCAGAAAATAATCTCACATGGCTGTTGGACTTGCAGGAACAATGGCCAGCTTCCTTTCATATTTCTTCTTTATTCCAAGCTCCTACAGCCAACCTCATATGTGGAAACAATAAGAGTTTGTTGTTGTCCATTCAGAAGGCTTTTTGTTTCCTGAAGTTCGCATAACCCTTGCTTTATCATACATAAATTAGACCTTTTCTTTTCTTCCTCCCTTCTCTCAGCCTCTGATACCCCTCTCCTCTGCTAGAAGTACTCTTCAATAAGGAAGTGTCACTATATTTCCCTTTACAAAAATTCCCAACGTTTAACGCTGCTGGCATTTGTAACAAGCTTTCTTAGAGACCGCATCACAAATTCTTGGGACTAGCGGCTGCTTATGTAATAAGAGAGGAGATTGAGAATTCAGCCCCATAACTTGGGAGAGGATTCATTACCATTGGAATATTTGCAAATGAAATTGTTCTTCATGTTGCATCGGTCATCATTCCACTGGAACATGTAGAGGCCCCCAATGCCGGCGGGTGCTGATGGCTGATGGTACATGACCACGCAGACCTCGCTGCCGCAGGAAGGCTCATCCACGTACCAGTTCCTGTATAGGAAAGAGGTCAACAGTGAGGGCAACTAGAGAAAGCTACACCAGGACTTCAAAGCCTTTGTTTTTCCGTCAAGTTCACTGAGCCATGAACTTAAGATTCTGCTTCAGAACACAATAGAAAGAGAGGGAGGAATTGCACTACTGCCAATACCACACGCCTTCTAATATGGACATCACAATCAATCATCTGACATGTGCCACAACCTCTTTGCAGGGAGGAATATATTACCAAACGATGTCTGCAAAGTAATTATGAGAAAAAGCAGCTAGCAGGGCGAGTCTGTACAGTCTTATTTCTTTCTTGATTTTCGCTAACTGGGTTTTGTTTCTCTTTTTTTTTTTAGAAATCGGATGCTCTGAGAAAAGGCATGACATCTCATCCAGAGCTCACCCTGTCTCCATCTCCCCATGCTTTTCAATGGCCCTGACTGCCTTCCTAGCCCTGGGAGGTAGATGGAAAATTCAAGCACCTGAGCAAGACTTTCCAAAATGTAGATGCTGTCAAAGCAGGTGAGGGGCTGGGGACAAGAGCAAGAGGCCCACATGATCTTTTTCAGTTGTTTCCACTTATCAGGCTGATGAGCCCCTCCGTCAGCCTCCACTGCCAGATTTCTTGTCTCTGTCTCCCTGGCTCCTGGATGGGGTGCATTAGCAGCCTCAGCTCCACGATCCAGTGGTACTTGGAATTAAATGGTGCTGCCACCCAGTTGGATATGTGGGTGCCAGGTTGAGGCTCTGGATTCCATAGAGAATCTACATGCAGCGAGCACTTGCCCCGTATGGTGACTCAGGGCTGGGCTTTGTCATCTGTCTGGTGACCTATTTGAGCTGTTTCCTTCCGGTACTCAGATCTTGCCCTGATGCTCACATTATTTAGCTGAGCCCTGCTGCTCTAATTAGCTCTTGTCAGAGCCCATCCTTAGGAGACAGCTAAGAGGTCTCCTTGTAGCTCCTCAATATGGCTCTGCTTGAGTGCTATGTTGTCATCCATCAGAGGGAGGATCCTTTGCTGCACCCACTGAGTTGAATGCGCCTGGACAAGAGCTGAGCTTGCAACACTGCTTGTACACTATGCCTGGACAGCTGGGGACCCTGACTGGGGCTGGGCTCTGCACCTCATTAGTTACCTTCAGTCCATTTTCCAGCCCCATTGGTGGACCTCCTACTCTGACTTGCCTTGTTCTCACCACTGGCCTTGTGGTTTCATGTTATTTCACTTCACAGATGATAGAATGGATGGAATATTATGCCTGGCATCTAGTTTCTGGACTTGAGCCAGATTTCAGGCTCAGAACTCACTGATAGAAGGAGAGGTCAGGTTCCCAGGAGGAAGGACCCTGCAACACCATAGCGCATACACATGGTAATAATTTCCCCTGTTCTTTCAAAGAGACCTATGGCCATTTAGTTAAGTAACCATACACTGGGAAAGAGGACTCCAGATATTACAAGGACACTGTTGGACACAGGGTGCAAGTTACAATGATATCCAAAGACTTGAAGTGTCATCGGGGTTACCCATTCAAGTGGGAGCATATTGAGGCTAGGTATTAAATGGAGTTCTGGCCCAGGACCAGCTCACAGTGGGACCCAACCAGTGGTCATTCCCCAATCCCCAAATATATGAATTGAAAGCCTATGGAGTAAGATCTATAATAGTGAAGAAGGTCAAGTGGAAACCTCTGAAACTGCAGTCTTCCCCACCCTCTCCAAGATAGCAAGTGAAAAACACTGTCTTATCCAGGGGAAGATGATAGAAAGTAGTGCCAACTTTAAACACCTAGAGAATGCAAGGGTGGTATTTCCTATTATTTCTGTACTTAATTCACTAGTCTGACTTCTGCAAAAACCAGGCAGATCCTGAAGGATGATACTGGAACAGTAAAACTCAACCAAGTAAAAGCCTCAGTTGCAGCTGCTATGCCATATGTGGCACCTTTGCTAGAGCAGTTAACATGTCCTGAGGTACCTAGTATGCAGATCTGGTGAACACATTTTTTTCCATCTGTATCAGAAAGAGAATCTGAAACAGTTTGCATTCATTTGGAATGGACAACAGTATACATTTATGATCTTGCCTTAAAATTGTATTCATTTTCTTACTCTCTGTCATAAGGTGGTGTGAAGAGACCTGGACTGCCTAGATATCTTGCAGAAAATCACACTGGTTCATTATATTGCTGACGTCATGCTAATTGAACCAGATGAGCAAGAAGTGGCTAGCACGTTGGAGGCCTTAGTGAGACTCATGTGCTCCAACAGTTGGAGAGAAACCCTATGAAGATTCAGGGGCCTGTCACTTCATGAATATGTGTAGGTGTCTAGTGATCTAGGGAATGCCTGAGCATCCCTTTCAAATTAAAGGACATTTTGCAATGATTTGAAGAAGGAAGCACAGCACCTAGTAGGCCTCCTTGGGTTCTACAGGTAGCATATTTCACACTCTGGGAATACTGCTCTGGCCCATAAACCAGCTGACATGAAAGACAGCCGGCTTTGAGTGGGGTCCAGAGCAGAAAGGACTCTGAAGCAAGTCTAGGCAGTGGGGCAAGCAGACTCGCCCCTTAGGTCATATTATCCAGCAGACCCTATTATTAGAGGTATCAGTAGTGGGAAAAACAATGCTATATAGAACTTGTGACAAGCCCCAATGAGAGAATCACAATACAGACCCTCAAGATTCTATAGCAAGGCCATGTAATTTGTAGCTGAGAAATAATCATCTTTTGCAAAACAACTCCTGGCTTGCTATTAGGCAAGGAGCACCAAGAGACCATGCAATCCAACTTGCCCATCATGAATGAAGTACGTCAGGCACACCCTGTCATAGATTGGGCAGCCTAGAATCAATCCATTATAATACGGAAGAGATATATACAGGACAAAAGGGCAGAGGATGAGTAGGTAGAGCAGACTGCCATGACATCTACCACTGTCATACCAGAGCCTTTTGCTCAGCTGACACCTATGACTGCATAAGGGAATTCCTTATGACTAGCTGACAGAGGCAGCCTGAGCTTGGTTTGTGGAGAGGTCAGCCAAGTATGGGAGTACAACTCCAAATGGACAACAGCTGCACTGCAGCACCACTCAGAGGTGGCTTTGAAAGGTCAAGTGGTAAGGGGACGTCCTCCCAATGGCCAGAGCTTAACTGGTGTACCTAGTTAACCACTTTGGGAAGAGAAGTTATAGGAAGTTAGAATATACAAGGACTCAGGGGTAAGGCAAAGATCTTGGCCAGCTGATCAGGAAGAAAAAAGTCTTTCCAAGAGGAGAAAGAGTGGCAGATTGGGGACAAGGCACTCTTGGACAGAGTCACGTGAATAGACATTTGGGAGTAGGCATAAAGTACGAGACTCTGTCACCTGTCAAGGCCCACCAGAAAGCATCTAGCACAGAAGAGGCCCTAAAGGGAGAGAAAACGACTCAGCCAGTTGATGTCAGCCAGCCTGTTATCAGCAGCCCCAGTGCTGGCACAATAGATACGTACCATGGTGGCAGGGATGGAGGCTACGCATGGGCTCGACAGTATCGGGTCACATTCACCAAGGCTGATCTAGCTACTGCCAAACCTCCAACCTGCCAGCAACAGAGAACGACACTAAGTCCCTGAAAGAGCACCAACCCTGGGAGACCAGCCTGGCACTTGGTGTCAAGTTGGCTACACTGGACTCCTTCCATCCTGAAAGGGGCAATGATTCATTCCGACAGGAATAGACACACAATCTGGGTATGGGTTTGCCTTTCCTGCCTCAGGACCTTAGTGAGCACCACTATCTGAAGGCTTATACAGTATTTGATCTACTAGCAAAAGATCCCATATAATATCTCATCAGACCAAGGGATCTACTTTATAGCAAAGGAGGTATGGAAGAAGGCACCTGGCCATGAGATTTGCTAGTCATATCACGTATTGCACCATCCTGACGCTGCCAGCCTGACAGAGTGATGGAAGAGCTTGTTAAAAACACAGCTGAAGCATTAGTTTAGAGGCTGCTTTGTGAGGACAGGGCATCATCCTCCAAGATGCAGTGTACACTTTGAATCAACGAACTTTATACCATCCTGTGTCCCCAAGAGTAAGAATATATGTGTCTGGGAGCCAAATGGTGGAAACAGGAGTAGCCCCGCTTACCATCATTGGTAGTAACCCACTTGGGGAATTTGTGCTTCTTGTCTCTGCAACGCTGGTCCTTGTGAATTTAGAGGTCCTGGTACTCAAAGGGGGAACACTTTCCCCAGAAGACACTGCAAGAGTCTTATTGAATTATGAGCTATGGCTGCCACTTGGGCACTCTGGGATGCCTGTGTCCAGGGACCAGCAGGCAAGAAGAGGAGTCATTATCTTGGCAGGAGGCAACTGACCCTAACCATGAGGAGGAGGCAGGTCTGCTGTTATGCATTATGGGCAGGGAGAAATATGTTTGGCACACAGATTATCTCCTTGGGTGCCTGTTGGTACTTACGTATCCAATTTTGATGGTAAATGGAAATGTGCCATCGCTCCAGCCTGAGAAGTGCAAAGTGACTAGGGCCTCACACTCCTCAGGGATGAGGGTCTGGGTCCTGCCACAAGGCTCCCCGAGCAGATGGTAAGGGAACTGGAGAGTAGAGGAGGGAAGTCAATAAGTATCAGTTGTGGCCCCGGGACCAGCTGCAGTGGTGGGGAGCGTAGTTCATCTTATTAACCTTCCTCTAAAAATTTCTGCTGTGAAAATCCTGGAGAAGGTACTGCTGGAACTTAGATGAATATGTGGATCTAACTATCATAATGGTGGACTTTGATAGATGCTGACATGCTGTCTTAAATGTAATGGGTAAAAAAGATATATTTTAATCTTCATTCTTTTGATTGATAATAAGTTTAAACTCTTTTTCCCTATGATTGTTTACCAGTTAGATTTTCTATTTTATGAACTGTCTGCTCAGGTCTTCTGCCTTTTTGTCTTTTGGGGTTTTACTGACTTATATAAACTCTTTATCATAAAAAGATACTATTTGTTAAACTTATTACAACAATTTTCCATGTTATGTCTGCCTTATAATTTCATATTTTTTGACGTTTGTCCAGATCACTGGATTTCTTAGGGGGGTACGATGGCAATGCCATGGTGCCAGGGTGGGGTGTAAAATGAGTGAGTCCTGATGCTTTGGTTCAGCAGGGTCCCACAAACTGCAGCTTTCCTTAAGTCCTCTCTTGGCCAATCCATAGAATTATATCTTGGCTCTGATTTCTTGCCCATCCTCATGATTCCTTGTGGTCTGGAGACCTATCTTGAGTCTTAGCCACACAGACCTTCAATGTCTCACTGGGGTTCTAGTCCAAAAAGCCAGACAGCCAGAACCACTGACTTGAAGCATCACTTGCCATTGAAACAATGCTTCTGGGCCACACCCTCCTGAACAGAGCTCTTTGGCCATGAGTTGGGCCCAGACCAAGGCTGACTCACCACCTTCACCACACTGCTCTGGTCAGTGCTGTTCCGGTTCTGCTAGCCCCTCAGGACTCTCCTGGCTAGGCCTTCTGACCTAGCACCCGGATCCAGCCTGCCTCTTTTCCGAGTGACGTCAAGTGAGTTAGCCACTGTGGGTTCCACACACTTACCTGAATGTGGATGTGCTGCCATCCGTCCAAGCATAAAGGTCCTGGCAGACTGTGCTATTGCTTTGTTTCTCCTCGCGCCTCCTGAGCCCAATCCAGAAATCGCCATCAGACGCCAGGAGGTTTTCAATGAACTTTTCTATCAGTCTCTGTTCATCTTCAGACTCGATGCTGACCAACTGGCCCCCATCCCTCCGGCAGGCTGCTCTGGCTTCCTCAAAGTTCAGTCTTCGAGAAGCATCATGGAAGTAAATGACTTTATAACAAGGCCTCTGTGTCCCTCCCCGGCAGACCAGCTGCCCTAGAGAAAAAAGAAGCCAATCTATTTCAGTGTCCCCCAAAGAATACCAGGGCAGGCATGCTGGGAGGCATCTGAACAAGGTGCTCCCTGAGCAGGAACCCTGATGACTCCGCAGTGGACTGTTACAAAGTCGGTCAGGGTTCTCTGAGCAAATTAATACCCCTTCCAGCATGGAGACGCTGTGATTTTAACCATATCGTGCTGGGACTCCACGTTTTGTTTGTTCCGTTACAGATTCTCGTAAAGCAGACATTTCTGACTATCCTTTAAAAGAGAGATGGATGAAGATTTAAGGTTTCACTTAAAGGCACAAGAACATTTATGCCTTCAGGGAGTCTCAGGGGATAGCATGGCTTAAATGAGTTATCTCTGCTGTTTCCTTCAGGGGAGAGAGGCATTCTGAAGTTGGGCTGGGCTCCTCAACCCTGGAACCCTCTGCCTGTGTAGCAGGCCCGAGAATTCACCCAGTCTATGGGATAAACAGAAGCTAAAAGCACCAGATCTTTGGGGTTTTCTGCTACTGATCTTGCCTGAAGACAACAATTATCTCATTGAATTCTCATAGTAATCCCCTGATGTAGATATTGTTTATGCCCCATTTTACAAATGAGAAAACTGAGGCTCAGAGAAATTCAGTAATTTGGCTAAGGTCATACAGCTATCGGTAGCATTGCCTGAGTCAGAACCCAGATCTAATTACACAGTCATGCTGGTAACCACTGAACGATATTGCCCCCTCCTCACTCCACCGCAGGCTTGGAGCCCATGTAATGTGTCTCGTCTGACTGACTGAAAACCATCTCAGACAAGTGGCTGGGATTCTAATGAGGAGCAAATAACGAATCATTTACCAGTACACACCCCACTAGCTTGGGTCCGACTGCCTGTAGTCTTGCTGTACCCAAAACATTAGCCTCATCACTCCTTTATTCATTAGTTTTTTCTTTTCTTTTTTTTTGAGGAAGATTGGCCCTGAGCTAACATCTATGCCTATCCTCTTCTATTTTATATGTGAGACACCTGCCACAGCATGGCTTGATAAGCGGTGCACAGGTCTGCATCCAGGATCTCAACTGGAGAACCCCAGGCTGCCAAAGCGGAGCGTGAGAACTTAACCACTATGCCGCGGGGCCAGCCCACCATTACTCCTTTATTCAGTCAACATGTATTGAGGGTTCCCTCTCTGCCTGGTGCTGTGCTAGGTGCTGGGAATACAGAAACAAATGCCAGTTCCTAGCCCGCGGGAGCACCCAGTATAGGTTTCTGGATCCAGATGTAGAAAGTGAAAATCAAATTTCAACAAGGGCAATCCCTTGCAATGGAGAGCTAAATTGTGGGCTGTGGGTGTGAACTGCTGCCACACAGCAAGGGACAAAGGATTTTGGTTTGGAAGCCTCATCTCAGTCCTCATGGAATGTTCTTATTTTCCTAACTTGTTTTGCAGCTGTTCAGGGAGCCGGATCGCATTCATTATTCCCAATACTGTCCAGAATACAGGGCAAAAGGCCACAGACGGCTAACTGCATTTTCAGTGCTAAATGGGAACAAAGCACATACAGATAAACCAGAAAGCTCATGTGAATTCTTGTTTTCCGTTTCTTTTTTCATCACTTTTGTCAAAGAATTCTCCATAAGCAACAAGTTCTAAGAGTTTTGCATCTTCTCTCTTCCTCTGTCATTCTTCTGCTACTGCTAAATAGAGAAACTCTAACAGGACTGGTCCATCAGCAAATTAGGAGGCCTCGAAAGAGAGACATTCTCACTAAAGAGGTGTTCCAGAGAGACTGGGGACCACTGGCCAGAGAGGTTGTGGCTGGGATGCTGCCTAAGCAAAATCCTGGGCAAGCCCAGCTTCTGTGTGTCCTTAAAATGGCTCCAAATGAGGCAGCAGAGGAAAAACAAATGAGCTCCAGGAACCCCCAACCTGGTCACCTCCAGGAACCCCCAACCTGGCCACCAGAAAAAAAAGCTGGAGTTAAATTTACTGGCAGTCCCCACTTTTCCACCGTTGGATTATCCAGAGAAAACATCACACCTTCAACGAGTTTCCTGTATAGCCCAGCCTGGTCACACACCCCAAGTCAGCGGGTGAGTGCCAGAGAGAGCCAGACTGGAAGGTGGCCCGAGGGCGCATCTGGTTCCCCAGCCTTCAGGAAGTGTCTCTCTTCTCATTTGCAGGAAAGGGAAGGGAGGGCGGGACTTCTGTTCCCCACTACCGAGGACAGATCCCATACAGCCCTAACCCAAACAGCTTAACTCAGTTAACTTCTCCTTTGGCCGCCCGGCACCCCACCCCATCCTGAAACCAACTTCAGATCCTTCAAACAGCTTCGCAAGCACGGATAGGAGTGGAGGTTTTCATTCTCCATCCCTCTTGCCAATCTGTCGCCTGCGAAGGGGACCCGGGAAAGGGGCACGGACATTCTCTCCCCTCCCCCGACATGCAGAACAAATGGAAGAGGCAAGAAGCCAGAGCACTGTACCTCCTGTGACATCCGAGTCCGAGGTTGCAGTGACACGACGGGAGGAAGGAAGCAGAGAGTCATTCCCCAGTCAGGCGGGGCGTGTGCCGCGCTAACTAGGCTTCTTTCCGATCTCTAAGCGCTCTTATTCCAGCCATCCTCCCCCCAGAAGAGCCCAGGAGTAACAGGCTGGGTTCCCACGGCGCAGTCGATACAGAACCCCTACAGTACCCGCCGTCTCCGAGGATAGGCGAACCTTCCGGTGGGCAGGACAAGGGAGTGGGTGAGCCCGCCCTGCGTGGGGGTCCCGGGGGCTATTGCACCACATACAAGGGCCGAGGGGGCGCCTACTGGCGCAGATTTGCTCACTGCCCCACTTCCCCCCGGATTCCTGTAACCCTGGGAGGGGAACGGGCTTCGAGCGTTCCAGGATACGCAGGGAACCGGCGCTGGTCTCAGCCGCGGGACGATTGCTCCCCTGGAAGCAGGGGGCGCCGGAGGGCTGAGTCCATTAGTGAGGTGGGGGCGCCTTCCCCCACCCAATCCGCAGAGAGCCAGAGAAGAGGCACGGCGGCCCTGAAGACGGTCAGCAGAAGCTGGGGTGCAGTGGGTGCAGCGTCCGAGTCCCCCCAGGAAGCAGCCCCCGCCCCGGCACGCGCACTCACCGCTTAGCAGGCGCCCCGTCGCTCCCCCGGGCCCCGCCAGCAGCACCGCCAGCAGCATGGCCTGCAGCGCCGCCCCTGGCTGCATGGCCCGGCTCGGGTGCGCCCTCGGACACCCGGGTGCTACGGCGGTGGAGCGGGCGGCCCGGCGGCGGCGTGCACGACAACTGCAACCGCGGCAGCAGCATCTCCCGAGGACCGACGGACCTGGCACCCGGAGGAGGCGGGGAGGGCGCGGAGCCAGCCAGTCGCCCCTCCGCCCCCTGGGACGTCACTGCGGGGAGGGCTGCCCCGCCGGTTGGCCCGCTTCCGATGGCCTCCTCCCGCGCGCTCGGCGCCAGACACCAGTCCCGCTCGAAGGGGAGCGAGCAGAGGAGCGGAGCCAGCTCCCTGCCCCATTCCGAGCTTCCCAGAGAGATCTTGCATTTGCCTAGGGCTCAGGGCCGAGGAAAAGTCCGGTTTGGCTTCTCTGAAATCTGATGAAGAGAGCACTGTGGCTAAAAACAGGACCGCATCTCACCCCTCCCCTGGGGGGAATAGCCAAATTTATCCAGCGTCCCTAGGCTCTGCAGTGCGGGCCGACGGGAGAGGCAAGACCTGAGACCTACCCGGGCCTCGGTTGGTTGAGTCCAGGCGCTCAGGGCTTCCTTCACCTGAGAAAGAAATGGAGGATGCAGAGAACAGATGCTCAAGTAGGCAGTGTGCCCACTGGCCAGGCAAGTGATGGGACAGCTGGATAGTGTTCGGAGGAGGCTAAGTTGGAGTTCTGGCTGAGAGGACAGTAGCTCTACCCGAAGCCAAAGGGTGTCCCTGAACTCAGCAAGGAAATAATGCTGCCTTTTGCAGGGCACATGTTGGGAGGCAAGGGTGATTGTTCAGCCTTGGACTGGCGGCAGAGGGAGATCCCACAGGAAAGAATGACCCCATTTCCTCTGGAAGTTTTCTGCACCAACCCAGCCCTCAATGTGTGCTGCTGCTTCTAAACTCCCACAATAGTTGTCTTTTACGTTTGCTTCTTAGAGTAAACAAAATATTTTCAAATATATTCAAATAATAAACTGAGCCTCCTGTTCAAAAACTAAGGTACTAAGTGGCAGACGGTGGGTCTGATTTTTCTTGCCTTTTCTTCCATTCCGTGCTCTTGTGAAGCACAGTGGAAGCCCCATCTGAGCCACTGACTTCTGGGTTTTGGTCTCAGCTTGAGCCACTGCAACTCCAGACAAACAGCCCTGAATACAGTCTGTGGGGATCTGTTTCAATGTGAGCTGATAATATGGGGAAGCTCAGCTACTGCTGCGTCCACAGGATGAGGACTGACCTTTATGGCAAGTTCATTTACAGCCCTTAATGTCCGAATGAGAATATCTCATGTGCAACATACATTCTTTCTAGAAATTCCTGATTATTAAAACAATCAAAGAGTGAGCTGCTATGGTGAAAAGAAGCACTTGAGTTGGCAACTGATATTGTGTTTCCAATCCTGCTTTTCTTCACTTAATGTACGCATGGCCTTTGACGTTTCTTTGCCTAAGTTTCAATTAATTCTTGGTAACACTAAAAGTTACTTTAAGAGTTTTGTGAAGGTTTGATAAGGCAAATAGATATGTAAGCGTGCAGATACTGGGCCCTTAATGTCAATTGCAAACGATTTATTTCCAATATTACAACATCTATTACAACTCAGAGAAGCTGTTACCTCGGCCCAAATAATTAAATTGTGCCCCGAGTTTTCCCTTTGATGCCCTGGCCCTTGGGCCAGATAGACTTTGTTAAGGTGTGCAGTTGACCTAAGGTGGTAGATTATGACAACAACCTCAATTCTTCACTCTACCCTGTCTCCACATCCTTTACCCTTGACTTTGCAGCTCCTCTTACTAAAGAGGCAGAGTGTATTTCTCCAAACACAGTCCTTGTTTTTGACCTGTGACTTGTTTGGCCAACAGAATGAGCCAGAAGTTTCTGACCCTCAACTGGAAAAAGCCTCACATGTTTTTGTTTGTTTTCTTGCTTCTCTGCCACTCTCTGAGAGGAACATGGCTCAGATATCCCACTGGTCCATGTACATCCCAAAGAAGATGTGTGGAGCAGAGCTCCCTCAGTGAGTCAACAGACATGGCGTGAGAAGCAGGCCTGCCTTGGTGCTGTAGCCTGAAGCAGAGCTGTCTGGCCAAGCCTAGATCAGCCAACCCCCCAGCCAACCTACAGGTGGGTGAGCACCAAGAACTGTTGCTTTAGATCACTTTGTCATGGAGTATTGTTGCAGCAACACATAACCATGACGCCTGGAAATGCGGAGGGGTGTCACCAGGGGAAGGCTGGTTGCCAAGAAAGCTCACAAAGTGGAATTTTTCTTGGTGAAATTGTCTTGGTCCAGGGCCCAATCCTTCGTTTGACAAGCTCAAACTCAATCTAAGAGACTAATATATTTACACATTGAGAAATGTAATCATCAGGTAAACCAGTGTTTACATTGGTCTGTTGAGCATATACTTTGCCTCTGGGCAGGAGAATATTTCTCAGTGAGCATGGAATCAGAACAAAGGGAATTAGTTAGATGATTTGAAAGTTTAGGCTTTGATAGCCTTCTATATCCATCTTCACAACAGAGACCTATCTGTCTGGCAGACAAACACATCACTCTGCTAGCATTTCTTTTATTTTTAAGAGGGCTGAGATGAGATTGTCAATTTACAACTTTCTGAATTTCCCTTTTCTAGGCCTGCCTTTCTTCTTCAAAATAAGTACTCTTCAAAATACTTTTCTCCAAATGGTGTTGTGGCAGAAACTGCTGGTCGTCCACTAATATCCATTCTCCACTTCTGTTAGCCATAGAGTCCTGAATTTTAACTAGGCGGATGACCCCCTATTTAAAGACTGTTTCCCAGCCTCCCTTGCAGGTGTGTCCCTGTGATTAAGTTCTGATCAATGGGTCATCATTCCTTTCTCAGCACTGTGGAGTGGGAGCTGCATCTTACGGAGGTGCTGTCCAGGAGTTGTAGGTAGAGGCCAAGAGCGAAGGGAATAGTGGTCCTAGATAGCGCTGTGAGCACTGGAGCAGAGTGTACAACCCTGAGTAGGACTGCCAGTTGGAAAATGCAGAAGGGACAAATACTTAACCTTCTCTTTTCCAATATATACCAAGGGGAATGACCTTTGAAAGTGAGGGAGGTTGGCGCTGGGATTACGCACATCTGTGTAAGACAGAGGAATGCTAAGCCAGCTATTCACAGAAGTAGAAGCAATTGATTTCTGACTTCAGACGTTTTCCAGAGACTGAATAAACCAAATTTTGGCAAATAGGTTTTTTTTTTTTTTACAGCAAGAAGACTTTAAAGTTTTCAGGATTACCCTTTCATCCCTATTTCCGTATTAATTGTTTTTACGGGTGGTCTACAAGTTGGGGCATGTAAAGCCCCTGTTTCTTGTTTATCTGACATTCATAATATAGATTAAATGTAGCAATTTTGGAAATATCCTTCAAATGAAAATGAGATAAATAGGAGTTTGAGAATGTGTAAGATGAGAAAGATGATAATTGTGTGGTGTCAAATACAGTAGTGTCCAATAAGTAAAATAGACACAAGTATTCAATAACTGGTAAAATTCCTATGAATACTGCATCTTTAGCTTTTATTTCTTTGTCTATTTTAACTAAGTGATCCCAGCGATCCTGCTGTAAGAGCAGGCTGTTTCAAAAGTGAAGATCTAAGAGAGCCATCCTCTACCATGTGTCAATCAAATTAGTCCAAGGCTTTGACTTCTTCTTGTTCTTCTTTGTCAGACTCTGATATCACTTTCCTGTTGGCAGTAACATGAACAGTTTCAAAACACAGAACTCTGTAGTTGTGAACAGAATGTAGCATGAAAACAACTGGTGAATGTTTCCCCAATTAGATTTACTGTCTTGGATACTGACTATGCATTAGATTTGCAACCAAGTATAAACTTACACGTGGGAGGAGTGGTCATTCTACTGTGAAGTGTGATTTGAAGGGCATGGGAGAAGACCTCCTAACCCTAAATATATTTGGCTCGCCCAAGAGTCAAACTTCCGAGATTTCATCATTGGTAATTGATTTTTTTGGATTACCCATTGTTCCTTCTAGTCAGCTCTCTTTCAAAATGCAAATATTCCTGGGGTGGATAGTAAACATATTGCTACTAAAGCCTTACTATGTACACACTTTCTAGTTCTTTCCTTCTGATACAAGGGGCCTTGGATTATCCTAAGATCTGTTGGAGGAAGGGTGTATCTGTATATGTAGGGGGGTTTTTGACAGAAAAGGATGGAGACAGGAAAAAGAGGGAAAAATTAAAGTATTTTACAATTGTGTCTAAAATATTTCAAAATTTAAAAAAGTTTATAAATTAATGTACAGTATAAAAACATCACTTTCTAAATTCGCTAATACTGAATTACGTGATGTTTTTGAACTAAAATTTTTTTTGTTACAAATATTTTCTGAGTTCCTACATATAGGCAGTGTGCTAGGCACTTTGGGTGATCCAGTTTCTCATGGAGCTTACAATATAGTCATAAATAAGTCAAAAATATGCAAAATGTTAAATAAGAGATAAGGAGTTGAACAATTATAAAATATGGGCACAAAGTAGTACACGACTAATTGCCAAAAGAATGCTACAGACAGTATACAACTGTACTGTTGTATACAACTGTGTAAGAAGCTCAGAGGAAGACGATGTCACAGTGAAAGGGAATGAAATTCAAGGCTTCAGGACGGAGGAGGGAGAATGGGCAAGCTGATGTACAAAAGGAATTAAGTAAGCATTTAAATCGTTATGGGAATTATTTGTTCAAACTGTGAAATAATGTTTTACTCTTAGGTGGATCCACATAGATAGTAGCAGGAATGTTCTGATCATTCCTGTAAAAATGTGCACAGAAATCTAAGGCACCCAGACACAGCTCTTCCTGCTCTTCAAGTAGCAGTCTCCATCTATTGTTTGAATCAGATAAGCGAATCTTTCGGTTTGACTGTTTGCTCTACCCTAGGAAGCTAAGTCCTATGATCTGGCTAAAAAGCAAGAAGTTAAGTTGCTGAGCGTTGTGTAGACAATATAGCCAGGTGCTTAAATGATCTTTCCATTTTTTCCAGAAGTTTTTAAAATTACTATAGACATATTCATTTTTCTTTAATAGCATTTGATAAATTTAAAGGGAATCAGCCTCAATACCAATGAGATAAGAATAAAAATTCTATTACTTTCTGTTCTTCCCTGAATATAGTATGCAAATAAATATTTGTCAAATTAATGTTGAGTTAGCCACATTGGTTTTCAGTCTTAATATACAAATGGAGAGATTTTTTTATTAGGGGTTCTTTAATGATTAATTGGTGATAGCTGGTTTTCTTTAAACTCTTCTGGACCATGTGCCTGGTCCTGCTCTAACATTATTCCAGGGATAAGGCCCAGCACTGTGGGGCTAAAGCCCTTGCTACATGAATTTAGGTTTAGCAACCTTAGGCATGCCGTTGGTGGTATCAGAGCTGATAATCTAGGAGATCTGCTGATTTGCTGAAGATGTGGGGCTAGGTGTGGGGAGGGGAGAGGGGAGCTGAGAGGGCAGGATGGCAGGTGAATACAAGAACCCAAGCTGAGAAAGAAGTGGGAGAGAATGTGTACAGAGATTCAAGGTTGATCTACTCTCTTGTTTGCACCAACCTATGCTTGTATATTGCACAGATATGCAAGGGGCACACAGGCTTTAACGTAGAGGAAGAGAAAGTTTATTCAAGGCAAGAAATCTCTAGAATGCTGGGAGAGTTTTAAGAAGATTTGAGGGTGGGAGGTAAAGTGAGTAAGAAAAAAGAAATGCTTTTTTATGGGGGAACTAGAAAGGTGAGAAGCTTTTGACAGAAGTAAACTTACTTTGCTTTGTGTATTTTGGCCTTTGGTTTATAAGGAAGGGAAACCAGTTCTTTCTGAAAGAACAAGACAAAACAAAACAAAATATAAATCAAAAAGGAAAATTTTTACTTCTTGCGTGGGATGAAATTTACTTACTTGAAAAAAAATGAGGTAAAATTATCAGAGTTTAGACAGACTAGCTTCTTAAATCTGGAGACTGTGGGGTCGGAAATGTTCCAGATTAGGGAATTTGGGGTTCATTGAGGAGAGTGTGTGTTTGTACATCCATAAGTTTACAGGGTGCTATTATTGTTTTTATTAAGCTTGTTTCTCTTCACTTAGCATTTGCTTTTGTATGATCTAAGCAAGATCAATCATTGTAAAATAAATATAAGCACTGTTAATACCCCATATTAATATCCTATAGCTTTACAGTATGTGACAATAAGCCCACTGACACTAACATGTCATTTCTATGCCAGCAGAACTGCACACTCTGGAGATAGCTTTGGTTTATCAAGGACTGCCAAATTATCTGATGTTTATACACCCTGCCCATCTGCAGCACATAGAAGCCTCTAGACCCTGGGTATCTAGATTTAGGAGGTCAATCTATAAAACGTCTGAGAATTTGCCATAGTTCACCCCCCAACACATAGATTTATCTGAATGTCTCACTGTCAGTCTCACCGAGATCCTTTCTTCTCTTTGTTTTCTTAAGAGTTGGAGAATCTCATTTCTTGTTTTAGCCTGTTTAAATGAAAAAAAAAAAAACAAGGATGTCTTTTTTTTTTTGTTGAGGCAGATTTGCTCTGAGCCAACATCTGTTGCCAATCCTCCTCTTTTTTTTGCCTGAGAGTTAACATCTGTGCCAATCTTCCTCCACTTTATATGTGGGTTGCCACCACAGCGTGGCTTGACAGTGGTGTAGGTCTGCACCTGGGATCCGAACCTGCAAACCTGGGCTGCTGAAGTGCAGTGCACTGGACTTAACCACTACGTCACGGGGCTGGACCTAAGTATGAGTCTTCTGACTTAATAATAAAGCATTGTGCCTATGGAGGGTAGAAGTTTTTCATTTTGCTTCTTGTATTTTTTGGCAGAATTTTAAAATATTTTTTCCAAGATAAATTTATACTTTTCATTTGTAGCACAATCCAGTTTTTATTCCAGAGGATGCTCCTTTACAAAATAATTTTATTTTGATCCTAAATGGAAGGGATTTTTCTTGCCCATCTAATAATAATTAACTTTTATTAAGACTTTACTACATGAACTATGCCAAGCACTTTATCACAAGAACTTCAACATAGTCCAGAAGTTTGACATTACTATCATCTCGTTTTACAGATGAGGAATCTGAAGCTTTCTAAGGTTAAATGATTTATAAGCTATAAAGGGGCAGAACTGGATTTGATATCAGGTCTATTTCACAACAAAGCACAAGTGATTGACCACCACACTAAATTGCCATTAAATGGTAGCAGGATACCACATCAGCAAGCTCCAATAGTGTGCCACCACCTCAGTCCATGACAGGAGGGCTCTTGGCATCTTGAATATGGAACAGAGCCTTATCCTCTCATCTCTCTTCTGTCTTATGTATTGAGATAAGCACATTTTCAGGTAAGTTTTCCTAAGTGTAAAAAGCTAATCTAGTGCAAGCATTAAGATTTATCAAGATACAGACCATATAAAAAGAGGTAAATATAGGTACAATTTTTTTTTTCATAGAATCCAGTTGTTCAGTTTTGAAAATAGCCAGGTAGAAAATCACATGAGTATTTGGGAACAAAAGAAAAACCTGAGAATCTGACAAATAAAACTTGTAGCTTTGAATGGCCAAATAAAATGAAAGAAGTTCTGTTTAGATCAAGGACAGAAGCAAGAAATAACTGAGAACCAACACAGTTTGTCATAGGCAAGTAAAAATTCTGAGTCATCCATCCATCCATCTATTCAAATTTATTGAGATCTGCACTGTTTTCCTAGGCCTGTAACAAAGTATCATAACTGGGTAGCTTAAAACAATAGATATTTATTGTCTCACAGTTCTGGAGGGTAGAAGTCCAAAATCAAGGTGTCCGACAGGACCTGCTCCCTCTGACCTGTGGGGGAATCCTTCTTGCCTCTTCCTTCCTACCTTCTGGGGGTTTGCTGGCAGTCTGTGGCGTTCCTTGGCTGGCAGCCATGTTATTCCATTCTCTGCCGTTGTTGTCACATTGCTTTCTCTCTGTGTGTTTCTGTCTTCACATGGCCTTCTTATAAAGACACGGGTCCTATTGCGTTAGGGGCCCACTCTACTCCAGGATTAGCTTCCTAACTAATTTCATCTATAATGACTCTATTTCCAAGTAAGGTCATATTTTGATGTACTGGGGGTTAGGACTTCAACATATCTTTCTTTGAGGGACACATTTCAATCCTTAACGAGCACCTACCATGTAACATTACTGTTCTATGGGCTGAACAAAACACAGTTTGTGCCTGCAAGGTGATTTCAGGCTTGTGGAGAAAAGACAAGTAAATAGTTTAGAACGTGCTATGATGGGGTTAGTATAGGGTGCAATTAGAACCCTGAAAGGGACCATTAATTCAGACTAGGGTGTGTATGTATCTGTGGGG